AAAGGAAATTAAAAAAGCTCTTGATAAATAAATGCTATTACTCTATAGATCAGTACCTTACGTCTAAATAAATATTATCAACAAGAAATATGTTTTGGTTAGATTGATACACTTAATAATAATATAATATAATTTTATACGATTCTTAATTGGAATGTATGATTGTCTGATTTTAAAATATATAATATATGATTGATTACGGTTGATTTTAAGGTGGGTTGGATTTAGTAATTTGTTATGTACATGGTTTTCATTTTATTAATATTTTATAATAGGCTAGTTGACTAATATCGAATTGTATTAAATAAATGTTTATTTCTAACAGTATTTGGTCTAAGGAACCTAAATATATCGATTTCACTTCATAAAAGCAGAAGATTGCTGTAGAAATTTAATTTAAAAAAATATGTTTTAGTCTATATTTTTTAAACACTAAAAACGCTGTTCGCCACATCCGCCATGATTGTGACGTCTCTTTCAGTAAACAACTAAATGTCATTCGCATGTTATTGTGGGTGGATGGATTTAGTCCGAATAAATTTATCTTAAAACACTTTTAACTTTAGAAAAGTTCCGTTTAAGCTGTTTTTTTTGACAAAACTAATTATGGATGCCGGCTTTGTGAAAGCAGAAAGCACAAATCTGCCAAGAATTGACGCATTGATTGAATATGGTGATTTTTTTGCACTAAACCCCGATTTCTGCTCTGCGGAGCAGAGAAACGACAAGACATCTATGTAAGTACAGTGCATTTAGTATTACAATGTAGTAATAAACATAAAACTGATACAACATATGAATAAGTGTAATAAAGTTGCGTAGGTTAATTTCTTTCGGCACTTTAATCCACAACATTCCTGGGGGCCAATCGCCTAACTGGATTGCTTTGGAAAACGCTATCGCTTACGATTTCATTTTGTTATTTCTAGCCCCCTGAGGTTTTCAAATGCCCCGCGCTCTTTTTTTTTCTTTTGCATTGGTAATAACAATGTTAAAGAAAATGAGCGTGAGGTATTTCGGCGGTTAGAAATAACAAAATGAAATCGTAAGCGATAGCGTTTTCCAAAGCAATCCAGTTAGGCGATTGGCCCCCTGGAGTCTTCAAGGATGTGTTTTTATATTCTCGTACAATACAATAATGGTAATCGGGGTATTTATTAGAAATCATGTTTTTTTTATTATAAACTCAGATAAGTTATTTTCTACGTGCTTACGAGTTTTTGTTTACTACAGTTGACATCATAGCATAGACAATCTATGAACTAAAATGGCCGACAGCGTTTTCGTATATCCATGAAAATTCTATTTTAAAATTAAAGATTTGTAGCTTTCTAGGTCTCAAAAAAATACAATACATTTTTTTTCGGTATAATACAACATTTATTAACCATTTAAAACCTTTTTCCAAAAAGAGTCAACTAGCCTATTCATTTCAAATTAATTATTAATATTTTTTTTTATGGGATAATTGATGAAATATATTAATTATGATTGATTGAGTAGATATTTATATTACGTAAACTAAAAAAAAAAAAAAACATTGTATATTGGATTATAAATTCTATTCAAGAACACCAAGTATTGCGATACCCTGACAGGGTTCATGTAACGTACTTTATAACATGTATTTAACCATCTCTGTAACTACATGAATGCAATAAATGATTTGATTGATTGATTGATTGATTACCCAAATTTTTTCGTTGCTCATAAATTAAAACGTTACATAATTAGTTACAGTAGGTAAATTATTTTATTGAATAAATACAGTTTCCGAAAGTCAAACGAAAATGAGCTGACAGGCTGTTAAATCTTATTTAGCTGTTTTTTAACTTTAGTCCATACAGCCTTAGGAAACAACCCGCCATACAGTCAGTTCAGTCGTGTCATATCGTGGTGCGTTCCATTCTACGCACAAAACTGAATGAAAACACACGCTTTGTTTTTCGATTTAATTGTAAGTTTTGATAAAAGCCCCTAAAAGAACCCCCAAAAAATTCCAGCCCCTAAAAAAGTCCGTTTTAACACTTCTAGCCCCTAAATCTGGGGGCAAAACCCCTAAGTTGGGAACCGTGACGACCTTTTGGTATATTTACCTATCTCAATGACGAACGAGAACGAACGTAGAAAATAATATCACGATTAGAGTTGCCAGATCAAAAATCCAATTGAGCGCTAAAATAATGTAGAAAGCGCTAGATTTCAAGAAAAACGTGCTTTATAAGTGCGCCAGATTGATTTCAGTTTTTTTTATTAAATAAAAACCGGACAAAAATCAATCGAAACGTCAAAATAAATGTATTTAATCTAAATTCAAAAATAATCTGCCTGAGGGTACGGCCACAGTGCACGCAGGTTCAGACTCAGAAAACGTGAGGCTCGTGAGATGTCAGGTTGAAGAAAGCAGGTGATGGCCACCGTGGAGGCAGATAATACAAGACGCGGACGCGAGCACTGATGCCAGATAGGGGGATCCCCCCAAATTTGGGGAGTTTTTAAAGCGATGGGGGGAAAATATTTTTGGGGGATTAATATGGGGTCAGACATCTGTATTAATATAATTTTTACTAGCAAACCAGTGAACCAAATGTTCACCAAAACCTGATTTCTCGAAAATCGGAAGTGCTACGTTACTCAAATCCGGTTGGTAGTCTTATCAGACTATTCTTAACTTATAACTTAAATATTCTCTTTATCTATCTCTTACGGTTTGGCCGCTGAAACAGCACCACAGACAGACGGACGGACTTGTCTAATAGATAAGAGATAATTGATTATTTAAATGTATAGACATATAAAATTCAGTTTATTACAGCAATTAGGAAACGTCTCTGTTGAAAAGTTCTTTTTTTGGATTATATTGGATATTTTATAAGAGTATAATACAAAACGAATCGTATCAATTAAAACTAATAATATTTCTTTAGAACGGGAATCATTTCATGGAATCATTGGGTATTTAAAAAATAAATAAATAAATAAATAAATAATAAATAAATATTTCCGACACTCACACCAATTAGCCTAGCCCCAAAGTAAGCACTATAAGGCTTGTGTTATGGGATGCTAGGGTAACGGATAGAATACATATACTTTACATATATAAGTATATTTATATGAATACATATTAAACATCCATGACTGGAGTACAAATGCACGTATTCATCACACAAACATCTGCCCCCACCGGGATTCGAACCCGGGACCTCTCGAGTCGGCGACAGCCATGAAACCCGGCGTACAAACCACTCGGCCACAGAGGTCGTCAATCGTCGTAATATCTGTAGGTATGTGTGCCTGTTGTTTAATTTGTTTACATTTTATGCTATTCTTTCTCTAACAAGCATTACGACGCAATACGCGTTTAAGAATATAATATAATTAATTGTATTAAAATTGAGACTACAATAAAAAAGTATTTCTTTACCTTCAATACCTATTTCTCCAGCGAAGTTTTGCCAACAATTCTCTACAAAAATGGTCTTTTTCTCTCACGACTCGAATTCGTGAGATATTTTAATTAGATTTATTAAAGAATTTTTAGAATAAGATTAATTAGAAAATTCATATTTTACATATTGAGTATGACTTAGTTGCTGCTAAAGCTAAGTACCACAATAACTGTTATAATATCTTTCTGAGGCCTATTATGGGTACGTCTATATTTATTTTGGAAAATAACTTTAAAAAAGACCAAAGCGTCACCTTTTTCATAAATATATATTGTTTCAAGGTCAATAAATAACGATCTGTAGTAATGCGTTTTACATCAAATCATTTCCTTTATCTTAACTGACTTTGACAGGATACAAAAAAATCCATACAATCAAGTCAAGTCCCACTCGCACTTGGCGTATTTAATATCGATAAAATTTCATCGACTCAGTGTCAACCACCCTTTGTTCCCAACGAGTCACACTTTAACCTGTAACACTGTGACTCGTTGGGGAAACTTTGTAAAATAATTCCCAACTATTCACACTGTAACACGTTGGGAGATCTATCTTAAATAATTCCAAACCAGTCACACCACACTGTGACACGCTGGTAGACCTTTCTTAAACGATTCCCAACCAGTCACACTCGGACTCGTTATGCCAACCTGCTGATGGGTATACTGTTACATTATTATTGTTTTAAACTTTCATGGTCACTAACATTATAGTTATTTACGGGATTGTTACCATGTACCTTGTTTTTAGCGACTTTCCGATATTTCGGCGCTGTTGCAAGCACCAAGATCACGAGTAACTGGTTACCCAGTGATCATGGCGCTTGTTTTTAAACAAGGTACATGGTAACAATCCCGGAAAGAACTTATATTACTATACTGTTACATGACCATTCTATTTTGGACTCTATTTATATAGGTGAAACCTCTTATCCAATCTTTGACTCAAAGATTCTATCCAATTCTTTTAAAATGTAATATTCCTGTTAATCTTGATAGCCTATAAATCTATACTCTGACATTTTGATTACCTGTTAAGATATTAGGTCCTTACATATCACTTTTGAATTCCAGGCGTTTTGTACGGGAGGAATATAAAGTCAATTTCTTTTTGTAAAATATGTTTAATTAATCAAAGTATGCACCATTGTTATCTATGCACTTTTGCCATCTCATAGGTAGCAGTCACGGCTGTGAGCGCTGATTCGTTCGGTTGCTTGATGTCGCGTCGTTTGATTGGCTTATTATCTATTAGGTGGAAGTGTAGTGGGGGCGAGCCGGCGACATCGGTTCTCATACTGGCGATTGCTTATCACCTTTCTAACCTCTTTGTGTTCTGTGGGTTTGACGTTTTAATAACAGTCGTGTGACCTCATAGTGCGATGCCATAATGTCCAGAGAAACGTTATGGGGCAACTTGAAAATTCAATTTTTAATTTGAGTTTTACTGAATTAAACAACAGAATTATAATATCCACTTTTATGTTTTATGGACTCCATAAAAATTAGTAAATAACGTCAAATACCCTACTAGGCAAATAAAATAAAATGTATGATTAAGAAATATTTTATTTGATAATGTCTTTATCTAATATATTAATTATCAATTTATTATACAAATATGTTAACCTATGTTACAATTAAAATCGATTACAACTATTGCTTATGTATATCCTCGGCTATTTGACACATTGATTTGTTTTCCAATTATTTTCGTCGATGACACTATTCAATAAAAATAATCCTGAAATTAATGATCGCACATTTAAGGCGTATGTTTAATTAAGTTCAACAAGCGATTATTTTTAGAACACTGATATTAACAGTCAGTAGGTTAAATTCAATCTTACCCTAAGGCACTGACAGAAAAAAATTATGCACTATAATATGAAGTTATGTATAAATAATATAAATCTAAAGAGTAAATAACATTCCTTAATTCTTACGCCCTTACATAATTAACATCAGCAGCTGCGTAACAAACATATACCTAGTATCATCTCAAAATCTGCAGCAGTAAGCATTCACACACACACAGACACACACAGCTAAGATAATATTTATGGTGCAAAAATTGTAGTTTGAAAGTCTTTCTTTATATCATTATTTAAGTTAGGAACTAAAACAGCTATAAAATACTGACAACGAAATTTTGAGTAATTAAGTCTTTGATATAAGACAAACTCATTTGTGGCTGTCTCGTATACATTTATAACTTTTAATGGATATAGTATAGGCAGCGGCTAACTTTTTGAGCAAAACCACAAAAACAATTTTTGTTCAGTAGACGTTTTGGGTATATAAAATTGCTACCGCGTCTAAGTGTAAGTATGCCGCGGTGTATATTATTCCAAATAGTTGAAATGATAATGTCCAATTGAAACATAAGCTGAGTTATAATTTTATAGTACATTTTTAATAAACAAACTTATTTTTTTATATTGTATTATATGCTGCACTGTATATTTATTATCATCACTGTGTGTGAACTTTCTGACGACTGCACAGGAAGAAAGAGTGTAATGTTTTTTCCTAGTCCCTTCTTTCGAAGTAGATTATGAAAACGGCAAGATTTTGTGATAATATATATTTTTTGTTATTACTGTTGTTACAAGAAAACAATATTGCACACCAAAATTCCAACAGTATCAATTATTCAAGTAATAATTTATGAATGTATCTTAAAATTTAGTTAACTGGAGAAGGTTCATCAAAGCTAATAATACATAATAGTGGCCGATGAACAAATATGATTTACACATCACACCAATTCGTTCACATAAAATGCCATTTCCTATTCTGTTTGAAATCAAAAGTAAAGAAACTACACTTAGAAGTCGTTATAAAAATATTCTTAAGCAAAGTTAAATAACGTTAAAATCGCATTTTGCAGTCGAAAGTATTTTTAACTAAAATAGTTTACGTTAGAAATCAAAGTCTTTACAGTATTATTGAATAAACCGTAATTTTCGCCAAAATACACGCAAAAAACATAAATTGATTTTCTAGATTATGGTATCAATAATCTTCCAACATCTAAATAAATTATCGAAATCAATTTTTACCTTAATGAATAATTTTAACTCTAAGTTGAGCATGATTTTACATGTGAGTGAACGTAGCTGCTAATATTGCGCAGTGTGCGGGTTGCCTTAACATAAAGATTATAGGAATTCGCAATCGGAATACACATTTCAGTAAAAAATAACGTTTCATATACATACTTCGAAATGCACCAGTTTTTTACGTGTTTTCACTTTTTTTAACATTAAACAAGTCCATCAATATATTGCGAACTAAGTTTTGGATCGTTGAACGCTGGCACGCGTACTCGGTCGCTACCTGTGCGGGTTCGCAGTCGCACTCACTAAATGGGAATGACACCTCGAAGGTGTTTTATGTTGATTTGCCTGTTTTAATTGTTATTTTTCTTCCAATCCTACCTGAAAAGTAACTAAGATTTAGGCGTCGTCCCAATTGTCAACGATCGTACGATGACACGATGCGTTCTTGTCGTGCGATGACACGATGCGTTCTTGTCGTGCGATGATTTCCAAACATACAGATTTCTTCAGATGTGTCCTGATACAGTTCGTAAGCCGTCGCACGAACACAGGCACATTATTTTCATCGCACAATGAGATCCCATCGCACGATCGTTGCCAATTAGGACGACGCCTAATAAATAAGTAGACTACATTTTTACCATTTCATTTTGTGTGGTACAAAAACCCAATCCGTACTTATAAATTTAGTGTGTTGTCAGTCTGTTGCTTCTTCACGCTTAAACCGCTGCAAGGATTTGAATGAAACTTGGTATACAGAAATGTTGTGTCCCGGGAAAGAAAATAGGATAGTATCTATCCTAGAAGTCATCCTTAAGGGGGGCGAGAAGGAGGGCGATAGTTTGTATGGGAAACCAATATTTTCACGCAGACGAAGTCGCAGACACCCACTAGCTAGGAATATATTATGATATGAAATCACCATTGAGCCATTAAAACAGAAAGAAGAAGAAATGATATCAGTAAATATTAAGTACCTGCCGAGGCCCATTGCAAACGTCCACATTATACTTTTCAGACAGCCCAGCCATCAATCTTTCCTGTAAAATGAAACCAGTTTAAATATAAACATGAAATCCGAGGAGATGGTAATTAAACCATAAAAAGAAAGTTAAAACAATCAACTGGATTCTCACGACTTAGCGGCGGGCGTCGGAGCGCAGCGCAGCGCATACTACAATTTGCTCAATGAAATTGAATCATCCACAAAGTAGTTAAGTTATTATATGCATGCGGAAGCGAGCGGCTGTAGACACTACAGTATTCTTAAGCATTACACTAGATTCGAAGCTTCAGTGGGGCCCACATATTGAGAAATTGTCGTAGAGACTGAGCGCTGCAGCCTACGCAGTAATGAAGGTAAATTAACTGACGTAGATACTGTTTGATTGGGTTATTTTAGTTATTTTCAGTGTGATGTCGTACGTTATTTTGCTGTGGGGAAATGCTGCCGACATTCAAATTATTTTTGTGCTGCAAAAGCGTGCTGTTCGATCGATATTGGGACCAATTCTGGCGTTACATTCTCTAAACCTAAACTTAAAATTAGAGTGCTAATTTTAGTTTAGGGTTAGAGAATTGGTATTCTGAAATTGCTTACTAACTAAATTAAGAGAACAGTTGACAGCTGTAAACGAGCATCTAAATTGAATTCACAGATTATGTAAAAGCATTGAACCGGTAATTATCGGTTTACTCAAATTAGCAATAATTACTTATTATTCAGTGATTTTGACTTATTTTTTTATTTTATTTAAGTAAATCTTTGTTGTCCTTCATCATCTTTGAAATATGAAAACTTAACATAACTTTGTTATATTTGTTTCTTAGGTTTTCACGCACATCACTCATTAAATAAAACTAGTTTAAACGGGATAATGCACGAAACTTTAATACTGATAGGTACCTCAATGGTGACTCACACCATCACCCGAAACAATTAACTGCCGTAGGAAACTCTTTGTTTCAGAGAGCACGGGGTGTCTGTGACGAACAACACCTGGCAGCTGAACTTCAGCATGTCGAGCAAGTACTGAAGGATAATAACCTGAATGTACCACGTCGCCGTCACAGTCGCGCCAAACCTAGCACAGTCGACCGACAACCTGCTATACTACCTTACATGAAAGGAGTCACTGACAAGATTGGGAGGATTCTGAAGCGTGCTTCAATCAATACATACTTCAAGCCGCCAAAGAAGATCAACCAGTTTCTACGACCAGTCAAGTGCAATATACCCTTTCAAGTTGCTGGTGTCTACAAACTTGAATGCGACTGTGGGCTCTCCTACATCGGTCAAACAAAGAGGAGCATAGGGACTCGCGTAAAAGAACATATCGCAGATATGAAACATAGGCGCGAAAATAAATCTGCAGTGTGTGAACATGCATTAGGGGGACCAAACCACTACATTAGATTTGATAGACCACAGATCCTTGCAGCTGAGCGGCGTTTCGTTCCTCGAATGATGCGCGAGGCTATTGAGATTAAAAAATATCCAAATTTCAATAGGGAAGATGGTTGGTATATACCACCAGCTTGGGAACCTATTATACAGGAGATAAAATCCCAACCCCGAGCACATACTGCAAGACCATCAGATACTATTAGTTCTTTTTGTTTGCATAATTTAACATAAGAAGGAGATAGAAAGCCTTTCTTGAGTTTGTTTCGCCGGTTCTTCTCAGGAAGGTCTCCCAATTTTGGAACCGGTGGTAGTTTACGGTAGTTAGGGTCAAATAAATAAACGCAAAATTACAAACAAGAATTTTAAATAAAATACTTTATTAAGTAAATTAAATAATAAATTCATACATAGACAATAAAACTTAAAAATCGAACGATGAAATAACCAAACGCTCAATAAAAGTCTTTCGAAGGTAGCTCGACAAATTAAACAAAAGTTTTATTCTGACGACGAAGCCTGGAAAGGCTACGAAACGTCAATAAATAAATAAAGTTTCGTGCATAACTTTGTTATTTTACTGTATGAGAAATTATGAATCAATAATACTAAAGAGTGAATACTTGCCTACTCTGTGGTACTTAGGGTTTCTAGATTGGGAGTGTTTATCCTTATTTTTGGGAAAAATAAGAACTTGGAGAAATGTAATCTGCGGGGAGAACTTAAGGAATCATATTTTTTCTTTGAAAAAAGCCAAGTATTTACTTGGGCTAAACGATGTGACGTAAAAAAATTACAAAGTGCATCGAACGAGCAATTAGGTAGGTACCATTGCGCCGTGATGCAGTCTAATCATTCAGATGAAGTAAATAGGGTAAGTGTACTCGTCCAAGCAAAAACGTTTATTGTTTTGTCTGATGTATCACTACGATTGCCCGGCGGCACCGCGCCGGCGCTGAATTCATGCAACGGGCCGTGGCCGAGCCATGGCGGGACCAAGTTTTTTCCGAGCGTTGTTTCATTTGTTGCTCGGTTGTCAGTCGGTTACTGCATGACAACCGAGCATATAGCGTATAAATAGCGTGAATGTTATATTTTACATGGATTATGGACATAATCCATGTAAAATAAATTATTTAATAATAGTTAACTAGAGAAGTTCGATGGCGCAGACGATCAGCTCGTTAGTCTGCGATCGTTGAAGTTAAGCAACTTTCGCAGTGGTCGTTCATTGGATGGGTGACCAAACATCTTCTATGTCGAGTTCCTCGTTCTCCCGGCTGTATCTGCAGTCGTTAGCACCCGCCAATCCGCACTGGGCCTGCGTGGTGGGTCATGGCCTAATCTCTCTATTTCATCCATAGGGAAGGCCTGTGCCCCAGCAATGGGGACATTAATAGGCTGATGATGATGATGATGATGATTAGTTAACTCTGCTACGGCCGACAGGGTCTAACGTGAACCATCCTTGAAAATTTCTCGCTTCGTAAATTCCCAATCCAGCGTATCTATCTAATACCTATAATTTCGGTTTCGGTAAGAGGTTGTAAAATTATCCCTTCCGCTGTTTTGTGAAGATTTTATTCTCATTTATTGTATAATCCGAGATGCGTAACCTATTTTTATCTTTTTTGTTTCTATCAGTTTTTGGCGAGATCATCCCAATTATTCATTTGGTGAAGATGCCCAGTTTAGCATATATAAAAACAAACTTTTTTACAAACAGTAGGTACTTATTTCGTGTTTGGTTATTTTAAGAAATATGATTAGCTTATAAAAAGTTGGAAATAAAAACATTTCTAACTAATAGGTATTAAAAACTGCTTCATAGAAACAAAACCACATAAAACAAAGGAACAAATAATACATTAAAGTCTAAAGTACCTACATTTAAAGTCAAAACAACATTTGGATTGCAATTGGTGATTGGAATGCAAATCACTGACACCATACCTCTATTATCTTGTTAATTATTTGACTATGTACTTTAGATATAAGTAGGATCTGTAAGTATTACTTATAGAATTAGTACATAGATTTTTTACCTTTTTAGGTTGTTTTTATATGAAGTGGATTTTTATTTATGTTATATAAGATTTTACCTTAAATTATTTAGTATTTTATACAAGATATACGTGTACATTACCTACGAAAGACCACAATAGCGCAAGTGTAACGCTTTCGTTCTGCGATCGTGAATGTTAAGCAATTTTCACAATGGCCGATCTTAGGATGGGTGACCAACCCAAAATGTATTAAATCGAGTTCCTATGTTGCTGCTCGCTGCAGCTCGGATTTATTATAAGCATGACACATTAATAGGCTTATAATAAATCCGCATCGTAACATAGACCCACCTACCTTTTTAAAAAAAATAAAAGATCTAGCTAATATATTATTATCATCGTCGTTGTTCATTATTGTATAAAATTTATGTCTTTTTTTAACGAAATAAACCCATATCTAACCTTAACAACAAGTTCAAAACTTAAGTACAGCAATCATTTACGTGATATTTGGCCCCAATTATTCACATTTAAATTTAGAGAGGACCTCCGTAGGTCCTTCTTAATTTAGTGTGACATTTCTAATTTTAGAGAAAATATGACATTTAGAACGCGTTTCAGAATACCATTTAATCATCTAAATCTAAGTTGAATAACTTAGCAACGTCAATTTTAAATTTAGAGATAGTGTCATTACAGAATACCAAATTGAATTTGACAACTCTATATCTAATTTTAGTTAGTTTTAGATATAAGTTGGCACGCCAGAATTGGGCCCATTGACAATCTTAAGACTAGAGACTCTTTAAGAGTAAAATTTAAAACATTATTTCCTCTAAATAGTGATAAGCACTCGCTTAATACTAGAAATAAAAATAAATTAGCTGTACCAATTACCAGGTTCCATAAAATCAATAATTCATTTAAAGGTCTTTGTGTACGCTTCTACAATAAAGTCCCTAGCAATATCCAAAAATTAAGCGTCAATAAATTTAAAACTACCAGTAAAAGAGTTCTTATTAATAAAGCCCTGTCCCAAACGTTCCAGCAGCTTTTTCTATAATTATGATGAAGATGAAATAATTTTATGTATTGACACCGTAACAATATATTTTATTGTAAATATTGTTACATAATTATTTAACGCTGTTCCAGTTTTTCTCCACGGCAAAAAAAGAATGGCCTTAACTGGTGGTAGGGAAAAAAATATGGACGATTCAAAAGAGCTGTATTTTGCATCCAATTTGAATAAAGATATTTTGACTTTTGTAGCAGTATAAATTGTATGCAAATAAGGAATGAGAAGAAGCAAGGAGCATAGAGCATAACCTTAAATAACACTAGTCAACACGATTTTTGAGTCTGAGTTCTTTGTACCAGATTTTGATTTCTTATGCGTAATTAATGTAAGAAACAATATTTTTATTTAAAAAAGTTTGCTTTTGTAGCTATCAGAATGAAATTTTAAATTTCATGGAAAATTGCAAACTTTTTTGTTTGAGTTGTTAACAAGTAAATAATCATTAATATATTTATTTAAACTCTTTTATTTTCTTTAGACAAATAAACCAAGTCTATGAATACAAAAAATATATTGATTTAGTTTTAAAAATTGATATTTTTAGCATATTTTATTATTTTTAGTCTGAAAATTTTCTGAAGTAAACAAAATACCATGGAAATTTGTTATATCCTCATGTGACGCCCATATTTTATCCTGACTTCTAATAGAAATTTAAAGTAAGCTTCATATGCTGAATTAAGCCTTTTACTAATGGATAAACAATATTTTTCGACCCTAAATTTAATAAAATCTCCGGAAATAAATCGAACAGAGTCCACGTAGTTTTTACTCATTTTGGAAGACATTTTACCGCTCAAAACTCACAAAATTCGTCGTTTCCCTTCAATAAAGAAATTTTTCATGCAACTGAGACAAAATATAATGATAGGGTCCATAATGAATAAAAGTATATCATACTAAATATTATAATTCTTTTTCTGACACTGAATGTGCTGCTGGTATTGAAGTAAATAAAAATAACTTGGAAATTTTGTATATCGTCATAAGGCGTCCATATTTTATCCTGAAGTCAAATAGGAAGTTAAAATTAAGCTTCATATGTTTAATTAAGTCTTTGACTACAGGTTAAACCATTGTTATGACTCTAAATTTTAAAAAAATATCCGCAAATAAAGCAAACAGCGTCCACGTAGTTTTTACTCATTTTGGAAGGGATTTACCGCTCTAGGCATTTACAAAATATGTCGTTTCTCTAAAAGGTGTGTACATGCACTGAGTAATTGCAATATCCTTCTGCGCTCCTTTCTTATGCTTATTAAAAGCGGTAAATCCTCAGCCTTTTACAAAAGTCATACATATTTATTTACGATAAATACGATAAATCATTGTATAAAGTACAAAAGCAAACTTTTTAAAATAAAAATGAGGTTTCTAGTTATTTTTCGATATAAACAATTAGACAATAGTCATTAAATAACAGACTCAATTTCTTTTTTCATTTTGTAGACTTGTGTAATCAAAGAGGGCGACTTAACGAATTTGAGATGACTGCACTTCATTCATCATAGAATAAAGTTCGTCGAATTATTAGATTTTATTGTTATATCTGCCTGTGGTGTAGTAACCCTTCAAGAGTGTTTATTTAAATAAAAAAAACTTTAATTGATAAAGGAAAAAATCCTTTTAAACTTTATATTTTTAAATCGTTTTAGGCAAAAGTTTGTTGCAGTTTATCAAAAATAGCTTTTGCATTCAATAAAGATATTCAAACGAAATACTTCTTCGTAATCAACCTCAAATATTGTATACAATTTATTTTGCTCTGCAACCAGTAGATAACCTATTTTCGACAAATTGTCTGATTGGATTCACTAAATCAGCTTCCATATTTTTTTTGTTTTTTCTTATTACTCCAAATCTTATAGTCACACTTATTCAATTCACTGAGTGCCTCGAAACAAAACTAAACTATTTACTACAAATAAAAATTAAATAATGCACCCGCGGCACAAGCGTCAGGTAATAAGGCCTATTCGGTGAATGAATATGTTCAAGCGGTCGCACGGATCATAACAGATGACGTAATCGTAAACATTTAAGCTGGAGCGCTCGTTTCAAAGTAACCGTACAAAAAAAACTTTAATAAAACTATAATCTCTTGACGGATTTTAATAATTTAAAGACGCTCAGTATTTTAGTGCGCATAAGATGTACTTAGTAAATATCAGATTTGCTATTATGTGATTGATCCTCATTGCGCTGCGCTGCGCTACGACGCACGTCAGTAAATAAGAATCGTGGGTAGGTACAAAATGCGTTTACCTGTGTAAGGCGCTCCGCATCAACAAATGTATTGTTGTGATTTGTTGATTGCGCTCTCTCCAACTCGTTCTGTAAGCTGTCTATTTTATTCTGCATCTAAAATATTAATATAGTTTCGTTAATAGCGTTCTGAAGACAAGACTATCCTTAGGGATATTGTTGAATTGGATAATTAAGTAAACAATTATGCGGAAAGCAACAATTCAAGAAAACATGTTTATTCCACTGCCAAGAGTTTGCTCAACCAACACCAGAACAATGAATGCCAGAATTATATAAAAATAAAGAGTAAAAAGATGTTTGACTGCATTCTACATAAGAATTATGGGTGATGATTCTTTATTATGTTGGCTAGTTGATGTACAGTTAAAGCTATCACGGTAGATTTGTTTTTACTTTACAAATAAATTTTATGACATGTCTGCCAATTTGGTTAATGTGGTCATATCTGCTTCGTTTTAGGATAAGGCAGGATAACTGTGTTCGTAACTTATATTTATATCAGATATATATTAATCAAAGTTGCTTTATATAAAGAATCAACATTGTTTAAGATTTAAAACTAGATGAAAAAAAAACGATGGTTGCACTCCAGGAGTGCCGGCAGAAGTGAAAACTTGAATATTAACGTTGTGCATTTTTGATATTTTGGAATGATTAGGGAATAATTTTACACAAATTGCTTTAATTATCAGTATAAAAGTACTATCATGTATGTGGTAGAATACAATATTTATTTATTGCGCTATCGTACACAAACATGACAACATATATTAATTAAAAAAATTATCTCTCAGAAAAATCAACTTACCTGAATCACATTTAAGCGCACCTAGCTACATCTACTATAAAAAAAATGCATTTTCTTCGCAATAAAGCTGCCCTATTATTATAATACGATAAAATAAAATATTACTATGTTTCGTCCAATAAATTGAAAGTCAACAACCTTTCCAATTTTATTGTTTTCGTCTTACGAATTTTCGATTAGGTCACGTGTCCGGACGCGATCAGGCCACGTGTCATGACGCGATCAGGTCACGTGTCATAACGCGAGTTTTTACCCATTACAAAAAATTGTACAACGCCGCTAAAGAAGTTTTCACTTCAAAAAATACAGTTTATGAGATATAGCTATCTAGACAGACAGTGATAGTAAGTAATAGTGATTTGTTATCCCTGGTGTACAGAATTCAATAAAAAAGGTTTATATCTCGACTAAAAACAAAAAGCTTCCCAAGAGTATATGCAGTCAAACGAAATTAAGTATCAGAGCAGCATTTGTAAACTTTCATTATAGAATAGATGAGACAGGTACAATAACCAAGTTTGACGCCGGTACAACATCACAAACGTTCACATTGTTTGTACCTCGGATATGATCGTAGGCAATGATTTTTCTATGCAGGAGTATGCGAACGCCAGTGGTTCCTACATAATATAAAATTTATTTAACTGATGTTTTGAAAAATCATATATTAAGAATTACGCTGTTTGAATTTAAATTAACTAAAAGCTAGTTTTGAACGGACTAGCATTTTATACAGCAATTCTTTGGCTTTCCTAAGATTAAAAGGATGACCAAATGCTTATAATACTGTCATGGTAAAGGATGAGATTTGTTAATAGTAAGTAACAACATAAGGTCTACTTGCAGGAATTTTGCTAAATTTTAATTTAACTAAAATTAGATTCAACCCAATAATGATGTCAAATTGACATTTTTTATGGATTACATCTAGTTTTAGTTGAATCGATATCGTGGCAGCACTCAGGCGAAAGGTCTACTCATCCATCAATTCGCATATGTCGTCATAGTCTATGGATCAATTTAAATGCTCGTTCCATTAGTTCACACCAAAAACTTCATTCAAAAGACCTTATGCCACAGTGGCGCCAACTGATGACGTAAGTTTTCATAAAAACCCTCAGGCCCGAGCAGCGCTGGGTGCAGCAGCTGGCCGACAAGCAGTCGGCCAGCTGCTGCACCCAGCGCTGCTCCTCAGTAGTCACGTTCTGTTGCAGTTGACTGAGAACACTCTCCTTATAAAAGTTATTTACCTGGAGCATTGTCCTCGTACGAAGGTCGTCGAGCTCTCGCTGCTTGTCGGCCAGTTGCTGCGCCCAACGCTGCTCCTCAGTAGTCACGTTCTGTTGCAGACGACTGAGAACACCCTCCTAATTAGACGCCCAAAAAAGTATTGTATTAAGTACAAAATTTTATTTAAAGCGATGCAAAACTTGGTAGTGACTTGGCACCTTACTCGCAAAAACAAACACATCATGACATAATAGCCGTCATAATAACGTCCACTGCTGAGCATAGGCCAAAAGAAATACAAAGCTAATAAAAGTTAGAGCTATTTCACTGTGACATTCTGTAAATTGAAGGTTAATTACTAGTCTAAACACATTTTGTGAAATTGATCAGAAAAACAATTGTTGCTAAAAAGTTGACCGAAAGTAAGTAGTAGTGATCTATCCATCCTGATGCTGATGGTGTCCCAGTCAATATGTACCGTAGTCTGGCTAAATAATTCAATATTGAGGTTAAACGTAAGTTAAAATATGTACTCACAGTATCGTCTATGATCCTCTTGTACTTATCAACGAGCCCCTGCAGCTGTTCGTTCTGCGCCGTAAGGTCAGCTAATCGTGGACTTGACTCACTCTCCTTCTCCACTACTTTCTCAACAACTTTCTCTACTACTCTCTCTTCTACAACTTTCTCCGATGCCCTCTTCTCCGCCTCCTTCTTCTCCGTCTCTCTCTTCTCTAACTCTTTTTTCAGATTATCGGCGAAGGTTCGCAGCCAATCGCTACCCACTGATTTGTTAGGAGCTGCAGACGGGCATATTGCGCGTAATACGGTAGCTACTTCGTTGTATTGCGTCTCTTGAGCTTTCTGTATCGCGTCCTGTTTCAGAGAGAATTTTTATATAAATAGGATGGTAAAAAATAACGTCGTTTCACCAAAAGGCTGCCCAATAGAGTTTTGTTTTATTTAGCAGAATAGGGGAATGATTTTTAAATATAAAAAAATATAAATATTTTTATATTTAATTAAGGCGTTACTTCTATGCTAAGTGAATTTCCATGTGCTTTAATAATAAACCCTATCAATTAGAGTTATGTGAAAGCGAAGCCGGCCAAAGAGAGTTCGCATGTTAGTAGTGAAATAGTATTTGTTTTCACAAGCACAGAGCAGTTTTAATGTATGTACAATTAATATGTCATTTTTGTCACTGACCGTATGACATATTAATAAAATTCAAAATAACAGAAGTATAGGGGACTTATTCATTTCTTTAATCAGTTTCTCCTGACAACATCTAAAGCTTATATTTTACGAATGTATAGTTGTTTTAACTATTTCATTTATAATGTACACAAGAAATTTTATTTTATTATTACAGTAAAATTGCTCAAAGAAGCTAGTGGGAACAAATTGTTAGTGACACCTGGTTTGTGCACAAAGTATAAAGCATGACTTACTCGCACCGCGTCTTGGGCCGGCAACGCACTTGATGATTTCGCCTGAAGAGATTTTTCGGCGGATTGTAAAGCTTCCATTACTTTCCAGTTTTTAGTTCGCAACTCCTACATAGGAGAGTCAAGAATAACAGAATGGTTAGAATTCTTGTTAATGGAAAACCATATTCTACTAACTAGTTGGAAAAAATTGTAAATGAGGATCTATGGTTAAAAAAATTACATGCTGTCAATACAAAGAAGTATTATAACAAATTAAAACCTTTTATAATGAAGAAAGTTTACTGAAGTCAATAAAATAATAATAATAATAAATAAATAAATATATCCAACACACAAAAATTAGCCTAGCCCCAAAGTAAGCACTGTAAGGCTTGTGTTATTGGAACTAGGGTAACGGATAGAATATATATACTGTACATATATAAATATATTTATATAGAAATACATATAAAACGTCCCGACTGGAGTACAAATGCTCGTATTTATTACACAAACATCTGCCTCCACCGGGATTCGAACCCAGGACCTCTAGACACCATGAAACCCGGCGTATAAACCATGAGGGTACGGAGGTCGTCATAACAATAATGTTAATGAGTTAAGTAAAATCTGTAAGTTCTGAAGTGTATTTGAAATAATTGATTGGACTTTGGGTATTACGGATTGTGTTGCACAATAAAATATATGATAATAACTGAGGTCAAAATGCTTAGTTAAGAAAATTTACGATTTGATCGACTTTATTTTGGATTTGGAGTCGCCGACAGAGTTAAAGTTATAGGCACTGACATAGGCTAACACAGCGCACCCCAACTGGAGGCCGCATTCCATTTTAATTAAAATTGCGGGATAAGTTGCATTTTAATTGGTCAGTGTGGCATAACGGTCGGATGACAAATTAGATGCAAACTTGTACCGCGACGTTTGGGAGCGTATCACGTGCATATTTCCCTTAAGTAACATGGAATATGCCTTGTTTTGTAATGCATGCAGTGGTGTCTTTAATCTTGCTTCCTTATATTTGTGTCTTTGATTATATACACCCTAGATACCGTATTAACTGCACGGAACAGACACAAAAAATATCTACTATATATGGTAGATATGTTCATTGCTACGCACGCAAATATTGACTGCTTTAGTACATTCAAGCACACTTTGCGCGAAACATGAAACGTTTTCTTTTCTTGATTTATTTGGATTGCTCTATCTAGGCGTCTAAGTAATCAAAGACTTGTGTATATTTTCATGGTAGTCCTCAAAAATGAATTAAGTATTTCTGAATAAGCTTAGCACAAGCGGGCACCCATGTGTGCAGTCTCTTGTAAGGGTTCCTAAGTGGTCACTAAAGATCTCATCAACATCACCAGCTTATTAATGTCTCCCACTGCTGGGGAACCGGCCTTCCCAATGGATGGAATAGGAAAACTGGGCCGTCACCCACCACGCAGGCGCAGTGCGAAATATTGGGTGCTAATGACTACAGATGCAGTCGGGAACAACGGCTTAACGTGCCGTCCGAAGCACGGAGAAGTTCGAGATAATAAGTTTATGGTCACCCATCCAATGATCATTGTAAAAGTTGCTTAACTTTCTTGATCGCAGGTCGAACGCGCTAACCACTTACGCCATCGAGTTCCTCGATAGCTGTTTCCTTGTATTTGTGAATATTTTGTTATTAGTCCTCGAAAATGAATGTAGTATTGCTGAATAAGCTAGGCTCAAGCGGGCACCCTTATATGCTGTCTCTAATGGGGGTCCCAAGGTCTAAGCGGTCGCCAAAGATCTATACTCTATTCAACTTTCTCTGAGACAAAATGTTTCTTAAATGTCGGAGTAACTAGGCTGATTACAAAATTTCACATTTCACCGTAAATTATTTGCTTTATCACTACTCTTCAATTTAGTATAATATATAGCGTTCAAGTTAGAGAAAGCTACAGTTTAAGGTCTTCTTAAATTTTACTTTTTTTTTCATTGTTTTAATAATCACGTATCAAATTCGTTCTATTGAAAATACTTCTTGTCTAAAGATTTATTAACTAAAAAAAATCCACGCGGCCCAGGCAGCAGACGGGACTCGAACTCGCACCCTTCGCTATCCGGGCGAATGCACTGACCATTATTCTACCGCGGCCCTGATGGCCATGTCGAATTTTCACTAGCATTTCCAGATACATGCTTAAAAAATATTTACCCTTTTTAAGGCTTGTTTACCTTTTGTATCAAAGGAAGTTGAATAGAGTACAGTGGGTAGTATTTAACTCACATTGTTCTTCGACTGGTAGGAGTTACTTACTTGGCTTACGCACCGGCTAATTCCCTTCGTAACGCTTCCACTACACTCTCCATCTTGGCGAGTACGCCCGCCTTTAAAAAGGATCATCCATACTAAGAGCTAAAGATCTAGTGGGTAGAATTTCACTCACATTGTTCTTAGACTGGTAGGCGGCGAGTTGTTCCCGTAGGCGTGCCAGTTCGTCGCGTTGCTCGCGACTCGAGACCTGCGCGACGGCTAACTCGTTTCGTAACGCTTCCACTACACTCTCCACCTTGGCGAGTTCTGCCACCTTTAAAAAGGATCATCCATCACGCGAGGTTCGGTATACAAATTGGTAACAATCACAAGGGGAAAGAAGAATATCTACTCAAAACCACTATCAATAAGTGCCCTAATTCATCAAATAGACATATGTCTCTGACATATGTAAGGTTTATTGTGAAGTGATATATATACATCTTATTTTTATTTGAACGCAAACACTGATATCAAACGAGAAATTTATTAGTTCTTTATAAAATTCTCCTGTATACTGTAGAACTCATCTTTTCAAGCTTTCGCTGAGAGTCAATTTGTTACCAACAACGAAAAGACTACGATGGTAACGCAAATCTTACACAGCCCCGATTTCATGTCAAGAGTTATTGACAATTTGTCAAATACGTCGACTTAAAAAATAACCCTTGTTTTACAATATATTTTTTGTTGAAGTATGATAAGGACAATTGTAACAAAATGATACATATGCCAATGAGATAATAAATAAATATTTTTCCACAGTTACACTAATTAGGCTATCAAATGCCCCAAAGTAAGCACTGTAAGACTTGTGTTATGGGATGCTAGGGTAACGGATAGAATACATACAGTTATGAGTACAGTGCCTAAAATGCATGATGCCACTGCTGCAAAAATGCATGCATTTGATCGCATTGTACGTGGAACCAATTTTTAGCGCAATTCGTCTTCCATGTTATTTCTAATTCGTTGTTCTAAATACCTTATGTGGATCAGTAGAAGGTAGACCATTCTGTGCTGGTGCCGCTTTCAATTGTCGAAGTTCCGCCAACTCGGACTCGCGTTCCGCGAGTTGCGTTCTCAATGATGCGACTTCGTTAGAAAGCTGTGAAACCAAACATAATTTCAAATATTGACACCGAATTCCTATATTCGCGGATGTAATCGTAATAAAAAAATTGGTACCCTTTGTTAACGCCTCTGCAAACAGAGTAACTATAAAAGTTTTAAATAAAAGTAAAATACGCCTACGCCTAACCGCCTTCGCCGCGGTCGGTGGGTTTTTTCGAGAATGTAAACAAACAGTATAATAGTACTTGAAAACCGAAAATAAAACAATCTTATTACTCTATGTCTAAAGTAGGTATATTGTTAAATGCTACCACATATGTATTAGACGTTCCGCCACGTCTTTTGGTAAGAGCCGCTTTGCGTGGTTCATTGTCTCCTCTTTTCATTCATTACAAAAAATGTGATCGAGTAACACGTCCCTTCCGCTGTGTTCCAAAAAGAAAAGGTATTTACGATGCGAAAAAATCAAGTTAGTTAAACGCTTGCCAAAGCCTGACAAATAAAAATAATCAATATTGTTATTTCTAGTCTCGAACCCGCAATCGAGTCCACTTTGATAGAAAAGGCTTAACCTAATTAAGCACCTATTTTCTGAGGTTGAACGGTTGCAATTACCTGCTGTTTTTGTTTCTCTGATTCATCCTTAACTTTCTCCAAGTTGTTTTCTGCAGCTTGTGCACGGCTCGATAACCTTTGTACTTCATTCTGAAGCTCGTTCGAAGCTATAAAATAGCAGGTATATGTTGAGATAAACAAGAAATTAGCACATAAATATTTTTCAAAACAAAAGCATATTGCTCATAAAAATGTTATTGGAAATTTATTGGATTCTCTTATGGACTTAATGAAAAATCCCTCGCTCAAAGAAATTAAAATGTTGTTAAGCTCTTAGTTAGACACTATTTTTTTTAGATACTATGATCATTCCTGACCATGATTCAGGAGCTCGCTGGCGCAGGTGATTAACGCGTTCGGCCTGCGATACCATTGGATGATTGAACAAAACTTATTATCTCTAGCTCCTGTGCGCTTCGGAAGGCACGTCAAAGGTACAAGTCCGAACTGAACCGCAGACCACAGGCCGCAGCGGCAGACTGCAGGCGATACTACTAGTTTCTATAAATCTCGATATTGCGGCCTGCAGCCGCGGCGCGTAGCCTGCGGCTGCGGCCTGCAGCGACCGCAGACTGCAGTTCCAGTGGTGTCGCCAACCGCAGAGGTCACACCAAAGATTTGAATCGTTAGATATGCCCTTTCCATAGTTATATGCATTGTGCAGCGCGGCATGTCGCAGCTCTCGGAATAGAAGCTGCCGCGACCGCAGGCAGCACTGCGGTCAGCTGTAGGCGCTAGCCGCAGTGTCGCCTGCGGTTGTCGTCTGCAGCCCATTGAGGAATTGTACCTTTAGTCGTTCGTCCCGGCTGCATCTGCATTCGTTAACACCCACAAATACGCACTGGGGTCGCATGGTAGGACACGCACATCCCAATCTCTCTTTTCTATCCATAGGGAAGGCCAGGAGGTCTACTTTAATTACAAAAAACCGAAATTTTGATCGAATCTTCGCACTTTTCTTAGTATGTTTCTGGTTCTTTTTTAATTATAATAATATTTCTCATCCGAATATATATTAAGGTGTAGATTATCTAAGCCTACTCAAAGAAAGCTTCAATTTGATAGTTTATCGTTCAAATTAAGTATAACCTTAAATTGAAGAAATTAAATTTAGTTTGAACTTCGTTATCGAAAATTCGTTTCGGAGAAAGAGAGTAGACCCCCTGTACCCCGCAGTTTAACAGGCTGATGATGATTACTGACCATTGAGCCGTTCTTGTGTTTGACGCAGCTCTTGTTGCGCAACCTGTTCAGCGTGTACAGCACACTGCCGTTGCTGTTCAAGCTCACCAAAAGCACGATTCGCTTCCTGTTCACAAAAAAAAAATACATACACTATATATACTCCGAACAAACCGAAACCTGCTAGCGGTATAATGATGCAATAATATTACTGAAGACCAGCTGAAGAATAAAATGTGAGCTGTTTATACATAACATTCACTGCTTTGACATTTGAAACTATGCATAACAATGAGCGTAATATGGCTAAATGGTGTTTTCTTAATAAAAATGGGTTAGTCATTACACTAGTTTACAGTGCATCTGTTGCCAATAAACTTTGCTGTTGCTCACTACATATGATATGGTAGTTACAAATATGAATGTAGATTTTTTTTTTATCTGCACAAGTGTATGAGTTTCAGGTACTTACTTTAAAATACTTAGAAAAACAACATTAAAAAGATATATTAATAATCGAGTTCCAAAACCTTCTCCTTAAAGCTCTTTTCTTTTATATAGACTAAGAGAAGTGAAGTAAAAGGCACCGGCAATAGTCAAATTGCACTTTTTCCTTACCCAGAAACCATGATAACGCTCCTCTATTCTCTCCTTCTTCTCTCATATATTTTCTGGAAACCTGTCTACTACTACCTGGTAACTATGTAGGAAGAGAATTTATATGCTCATTGCATCAAAGAGATTTTTATTGTAAAAGTAGGTCTTTTCCAATTTGAGTATAGTTTTGATTCCGAGAAAATTTTGCATCACCGATATGAAAGCTGTCCATGGCCTAATGTAAACTCAATCATGGAATCTTAAAATTCAGTATCTTTCGAGAGTTGTCTAAATACAAAAATTTCTTGAGTGAGCTGAGGAAATTTTTGGGAAATGTAGGAAAAGCAAGTCTCGTTTTTATTGAGTGCTTCAACAAACTGTTTCATGATTCCTAGTTTTATATATCCACTACATGACTTCGAAAAGTCATGCGACTGTTGCCCTGAATGCTAAACACAACACAACAGTTGAATACTAGACGTGCATATACCTGCAGCTGCTGCGCGATCATCATGGCGTCGCGTGCGGCGCTCGCGTCCATGCGCGCCTGCCCCGCCTCTACAAGACGTGTCCATACCTGCAGCTGCTGCGCAAGGTCAGCGGCGTGTTGCTGCGTGATCATCATGGCGTCACGCGCGGCGCTCGCGTCCATGCGCGCCTGCCCCGCCTCTACGAGACGTGTCCATACCTGTAGCTGCTGCGCGAGTTCAGTGGTGTACTGCTGCGCGATCATCATGGCGTCACGCGCGGCGCTCGCGTCCATGCGCGCCTGCCCCGCCTCTACAAGACGTGTCCATACCTGCAGCTGCTGCGCAAGGTCAGCGGCGTGTTGCTGCGCGATCATCATGGCGTCACGCGCGGCGCTCGCGTCCATGCGCGCCTGCCCCGCCTCTACTAGGCGCGCGCTTAGCTCCGCCTGCAGCGCCGCCAGCTGCTGCACTAGCCCCGTCTCCGACTGTACACATATACGTACCGAATCATAAACTACTTCAATAAACCATCACATTTATACTAATAGGGGATATAACTGCAGTTTTCTCACGCCAGAGCACAGCACTAGCATAAACAGTAAACAAAATTGAAAAGTGGTTGAAACCGCAAATTGTTTAACTGCACCTTTGATCGACTGTTTAAATTGGGAAAAGTGTATTATTACACAATAATATATCAGTGCTGCGTATTTGGATATAAAATAAAGAAGACCATTCATTTTCACAACAAGACACTTCCAAAAGCACAAGGAGCGCTGTATGAGGCGTACGCACAGCGTTGCTAGATTTTTTTTGCCTAGTCGGGATTTAGGAACTTCTTGAGTGAAAAAAGCGAGATTATTTTGTCGAAAGCGGGACATAGTAAAAAAAAACGTATATAATCAAAAGTTATTGAATATTTATCTTCATTACGCGCCGGGCAGGCAGCCAGTCCACACTTTTCTGTCACCCGCTCGCGCTTTCTCAGTACGCTGCACGCACGGTCGAGTTATTCCCGAAAAGCGGGAATGAGCCTGTCCCGCGCGGGACATTAAATTTTGATTTAAAAATCGGGACGTCTGGAAACGCTGCACGCACCACGTGTTTGTCCTGCACGAGCGCGTGGTTCTCGTCGGCGAGCCGCTGCAGCCGCGCCTGCAGCGTGTGCAGCTCGGCGCGGTGCGTGGCCGCCGCCTGCTCGCCCGCGCGCGACGCTGCCGCCGCGCGACCGCGCTCCGCGTTCAACGTCGCCCTATAATAACACATCAACGTACGTATTTTATTAGACTACTAGCAGCCGCTTGCGGGACAGCGCGTACGCGTGGAGTTATTTAGAAATAGGTTCACTGCTCGTTCCCTGTAGTGATAGCGTGATAATATGTAACCTTTAAGTTAACCCGACTTCTTAATAATATTCGTGCCAAATTTGAAGTTGAATCCATGCAGTACTTTTTGAGTTTATCCCGGACATACATACAAAAATTCTAAAATCTATATTTTTGGCTTCGGTATCGATTGGAGATCACACCCTATTCCGCCCACAAGCATAAATATTAGTATAACTATTAAAAAAGTATTCAATGTACAGTTTTGACTTTCCTACTATTTTACTATATGTATCATCATCATCAGCCTATTACTGTCCCCACTGCTATGGCACAGGCCTTCCCTATGGACGGAATAGGGAGATTGGCCAGACCCACCACGCGGGCCCAGTGCGGATTGGTGGGTGCTAACGTCTACAGATGCAGACGGGACCAACGGCTTAACGTGCCTTCCGAAGCACGGAGAAAATCGAGATAAAAGTTTTTTGGTCACCATTCAATGGCCGACCACTGCGAAAGTTGCTTAACTTCAACGATCGCAGCCGGACGCTCTAGCCACCTGCGCCATCGAGCTCCTCGAGATTATATGTATAGATACCCGTAATACACCATGAAAATAAATTGTTGCAAAGAAAATTCGTCAATCTGTGAACAACAGAAAAGTACTACAATCCGCGCACGCGATAGCAGGACAGTTCCTTTTGGTACTTAAGTTTACGTGTAGTTTTTTTTTTGAGTGGGTTCAAGTCATGTTTTAATATTGTGCTTTACGTGCATTGTAAATTATGATAAATAAAAAAACATATAAAGTAACATCTAATTGATTAAAGCTAATTAAATTCACAGAATAGAATAAAACTACTAGCAACTTACCGCAGCTCCTTTAATTTCGCATGGAGAGCTTGACTTGCTTCCAATTCATCGGCTAGAGCTTTTTCCTTGTCCGCCAGTTGCTTCTTCAATTTCTGCATCGGATCATTGGGTCCCTAATAAAAGTAATTGCCAACTTTTAGTTTACCATTCTTATAAACGCAATAAGTAGTCCATTTTCTTTCTGGTTGAAGAATAATTTTGGAAACTCACTAAAAGATGGTCAATAAATCAGCTTCAAAACTGCGCAGGTAATAACTTTTTGCTCAATGTAACATTTATTTTTAGCTAGGGACCGTCAAAACATAAAATGCTAGGTGGTCCGATAGATGTGTCCGGAAGTGTATGCACAAATACTTTGACAAATCAAATATGTAGAAATGATTCGGCTATCCTTTCATTGGGTAAGATAACGTTAAACAGAAACCCCGACCATGATCGGCGTATTGATGAATTGGAATAGTTTGCGAGTGTGAAATTTCAATGTCAAATTTTCTATGGAAACTTGAACAGCAGCGCCACAACGAACATAACGAGAACTAAAACTCAGTACGCATTTGACGTAATCTAGATTGATTTCGATAATGGTTCGTGCTAAGCAGCGCGTCCGTGAGGATCTGTATCTCGGTGCGGGACAGCGCCGCCTGGCGGATTACGCGGACTAGCTCGCCTACGTTACAACGTTAACACCGTCACCGTCGCCCGCTGCTGATCAATCATTATATTGTGCACTGACCTCGCTCCACTCGGAGTGCTCGGGCAGCGGGTCGTGATGCTTGTTGAGCAGCGCGTCCGTGAGGATCTGTATCTCGGTGCGGGACAGCGCCGCCTGGCGGATTACGCGGACTAGCTCGCCTACGTTACGACGTTAACACCGTCGCCGTCGCCCGCTGCTGATCAATCATTATATTGTGCACTGACCTCGCTCGACTCGAAGTGCTCGGGCAGCGGGCCGTGGTGCTTGTTGAGCAGCGCGTCCGTGAGGATCTGTATCTCGGTGCGGGACAGCGCCACCTGGCGGATCACGTGGACTAGCTCGCAGACGTTAACATCGCCGCCGTCGCCCGCTGCTGATCAATCATTATATTGTGCACTAACCTCGCTCCACTCGGAGTGCTCGGGCAGCGGGTCGTGATGCTTGTTGAGCAGCGCCTCCGTGAGGATCTGTATCTCGGTGCGGGACAGCGCCGCCTGGCGGATTACGCGGACTAGCTCGCCTACGTTACGACGTTAACACCGTCGCCGTCGCCCGCTGCTGATCAATCATTATATTGTGCACTGACCTCGCTCAACTCGGAGTGCTCGGGCAGCGGGCCGTGGTGCTTGTTGAGCAGCGCGTCCGTGAGGATCTGTATCTCGGTGCGGGACAGCGCCACCTGGCGGATCACGTGGACTAGCTCGCAGACGTTAACATCGCCGCCGTCGCCCGCTGCTGATCAATCATTATATTGTGCACTAACCTCGCTCCACTCGGAGTGCTCGGGCAGCGGGTCGTGATGCTTGTTGAGCAGCGCGTCCGTGAGGATCTGTATCTCGGTGCGGGACAGCGCCGCCTGGCGGATCACGCGCACTAACTCTCCGACGTTCACGCCGCCGCCGTCGCCCGCTGCTAACCAAATGACGTTTATTTTAATTTTAGCATTAGCAGAAGTCATTTATCATCATCATCAGTCTATTAATGTCCCCACTGCTAGGGCACAGGCCTTCCCTAACAGGCCCAGTGCGGATTGGCGATGCAGCCGGGACCAACGGCTTAACATGCCTTGTGATGCACGGAGGAAATCGAGATAGAAGTATTTTGGTCATCCATCCAATGACCGACCGCTGCGAAAGATGCTTAACTTCAACGATCGCAGCCAAACGCGCTTACCACTTGCGCCATTGAGCTCCTCAAAAATTGAGGTTAATGAGTCGGTTAAACTGTTTCACAGGTTTGAGAGCGATAAAATTATTAACAACTTACCCATGAGCGTCAGCACATTAGGTTCCGGCTTCTTCTTCTTGCCCTTAGCGGGGGGCGACGGCGCCGGCGCCGCGGATACGGGCGCGAGCGCTTGCTTCAGTAGTTTGTCCGTAGTAAGCTCGTTGGGCTGCGGGGCGTTTAGGGGAGGCACCACCTCCTCTTTCTCTACCTCTTCAACCGCATCCTCGACAGACGACTTTTTGTCTGCCTTCTTAGCTGTACAATACAAACTTGCCTTAAACACAACATCCTAGTGGTCAAAATTGACAGAACAACAGACAAAACTGACAGATGTGAAGGGGGATTCCCCGCGTATGCGCGAATGCGCGTCTGAATCCATGGATTGACTTAATAAATTCAATTTATAAAATAAAACGAGTTTTATTTTACACTTTAAAGAATGCAAATAGGGGTGATGACGGGGTACAGTAAACGAAATTCTATTTAGTCCGGCAGTTAGATGATCAAAAAATAATGGACACGTATTTTTTCTCTGGGCAATCAACTAAAAAATGGCAAAGTTATAGCGCGTCAAAGTTTGAGAGTAGGGGCTCGTGACGTTACTTTTTAGTGAATTTTAGTACACTTTTAAGTGAAAATTCACTAAATGTCGTGACGTCATGCGACTTTTCAAATCAATATATCTCTGCAATGTTTATATTATGTGAAAAAAGAAAAAATACAAATATAGTGTGGGTGCTCTGTGATCAGCGACATGAGAATTTTAACCTTGTATCATGTACAGAAGTCTGTATTATTATTATTTTCCAATCCACCATATTATACCAGTTACTAAATGATATTGAGAATGGGACAAAAGCCTCAAGATCTTTCAGATGTTTAAACAGCTATTATAATACGTAATACAGTATATTCATGAGAACCTAATAATATACTCATGATCTCTTTGATTCTGACGTCATATTGAAACAGCTGTGCAAAATCAAACATTTACTAGCCATTAATTATGAGCAAGTGACAAAGGGCTTCTCCAAAGCAATATATGAAAAACTTTTTTTTTGTGTACAAAATCAATAATATCTATGGATCCAAATCTGTAAGTTATGGTAGAATAAATAAAGAACCCACTTACAAATATAGCAGTCGAGTAATAGGCTAGTTTACTCATGTCGAATTGTATTAAATAAATGTTTATTTCTTAAAGTATTTAGTCTAAGGAACCTTAATATATCGATTTCACTTCATAAAAGCAGAAGATTGCTGTAGAAATATAATTTAAAAAAATATTTTTTAGTCTATATTTTTTAAACACTAAAAACGCTGTTCGCCTCATCCGCCATGATTTTGACGTCTCTTGTGGTAAACAACTAAATGTCATTCGCGTGTTACTGTAGGTGGATTCTTTCGTCTGACTAAATTTATCTTAGAACACTTTTAACTTTAGGAAAGAATAAAACAGTAAACTTAGTTTTTTTTGACAAAACTAATTATGGATGCCGGCTTTGTGAAAGCAGAAAGCACAAATTTGCCAAGAATTGACGCATTGATGGTTGGTGAATTTGTTGCACTAAACCCCGATTTCTGCTCTGCGGAGCAGAGAAACGACAAGGCATCTATGTAAGTACAGTGCATTTAGTATTACAATGTAGTAATAAACATAAAACTGATACAACATATGAATAAGTGTAATAAAGTTGCGTAGGTTAATTTCTTTCGGCACTTTAATCCACAACTTTCCTGGAGTCTTCAAGGATGTGTTTTGATATTCTCGTACAATACAGTAATGATAATTACTTTATTTTTCGTGGTATTTATTAGAAATCATGTTTTTTTTTTATTATAATCTCAGTTAAAAGTAATTTTCTACGTGTTTACGAGTTTTTGTTTACCACAGTTCACGTCATAGCATAGATAATCTATAGACTAAAATGGCCGACAGCGTTTTTGTTTGTCCATGAAAAGTCTATTTTAAAATTAAAGATTTGTAGCTTTCTAGGTTTAAAAAAAATACAATACATTTTTTTTCGGTCTAATAGAACATTTATTAACCATTTAAAACCTTTTTCCAAAAGGGATCAACTAGCCTATTGCGTAATTATACATGGTCGTTATTCCTTATTCGGGTGCAGGAAAAATATTACTGGCTTTGGGGCACTAATGCAATAATTACATTGTTTTACTCACGTTCGGTTACTACAACACGGGCAAATGACCCTGCACCTGCGTTCTGGTTGGAACGTACCTGAGTGATGCCAGATTTGGGGAATTCTCCCCAAATTTGGTGGAAAACATATTTGGGGGACATTAAGAGGGAAATTATCTGGTACTAATGCATGAAAGGAAAACAGCATAGGGTTACTAAAACAAAAGCTGTTCGAGTGTACTCGATTCAGTTCATTTACACTTCATCATTTGTCCAAATTCCATAGGAAATCGTATACAAGGACCAAGTGCAATTACGTCCTAACAAAGGGGTTACGATTAAGTAATCGTAATTTTTCTCAATTTCTTAAAACATGTTTGAAAAATTATCGCAACATACGTTTTCGCTGTTCCTTTGGATTTTGGGCTGCTTCGCCACTGTTATGGCGTTCGCGAAGAGCCTCCTCCTTCGGCGGCTCAGATGAAGGGACGGGCTTGTTAGCCACTTTGTTGACTTTAGCAGCTTTCGATGGTTTGGTTTCCTTCTTTTCCACTACTTCTTCTTTCTTTTCTGCCACCTATGAATTGTATTGAGTGATTAAAAAGGGTCAAAAATATTGCAAATTACGTGTAAATTGTGATTATGTAATTTGATATAAATAAGAATTTTCAACCAAAATGTAAAATTAATTATATATGATTAATAATCCCTTTAAAGTTTATCAAATGTTTATTGGATTAGGTTACTCATGCTCATATTAGTGTAACTTTTCTTTCTCTACACATTAATATTTGTAATAAAATATATTATTATTCTCTGTACAAAATTAGAACAGCTTTTATATAAGGTTAATATTGTTAGAAATTAGTTTAACATTTCTAACTTACAAATATTATAATCAGATATACAATCAGTGAATATCTATTAAGTAGTTCAGAATTTTGTATCAGAAGTAAATACGAAAATTACTTTAACAAAAACAAACAAACAAAACGTTAAACATTAACTAGGATATACAACGATATTAAATACCCTAGATACACCAACACAAACAAAATCGTGCCCGAAAGGTACATCGGACTATTCACGGAGCTATGTAAGATGATCGCGTAGTCAAAACTACAAATAAAAAGCATTACTTAAACATTGAAGGTCACCTTTAATGAATCCTGTATAAGATATGACAGTTCGAGATGCAAGCTCGTACATTTTTACGACTTATTGCTATATGCGGAAGAATATAGACTTTATTTCTGTAACTCTACGCGCAATTTTGAATGCGCTGTAAGCAATATAGCAGGTACGGACCGCGAGGGAAAGTAACGGCTATATAACCGACCATGCATTAGAATATCACAAATATTTTCTACGAAATCATTTCATAGTAGGTATTAGAACAAAATTTGGTAAAAATGCTTCAAATTAACAAACACTGATTAGATACAGTTTACATACTATAAGTTATATACATTTTTTCACGGAGCTCTGCCGCATCTTGTCTTTTCCAACGGTCCGCGCGTGACTGTGAGTTCAAGCACTTCTTGATAGGGACACATTTTGAGCGGACGTCGTGTAGCTAGGGTATCTAATATCGTTGAGGATATAACGTATTTGAATTATGTATAGCACACAATTTGTTTCAGCTAGATTATGAAATAGGATTCTTTGTATTCCAGAACAATAACATTATTCTGTAGAAGTGTAGAAGTATCCAAAACGATGTACAGAATGTATCCATTGAATATAATTATTGAATTTTGTTCTATTGGCCTACAGACCATAATGTTGGGATTTTTTCCTGTCTAGTATCATTATCAACTATCATTAACACTAGATTTAGCCGGCGAATTCGTCAGGGTAGGTTTAAGTATAAAGATTAATGATCCATAAGGAAATTTTAATGAGAAGTAAAGTATGATTTTTCTTAATTTTATTGATGGATCCTTATTTTGTTAGTGAAGAATGCAATAACTAGGCAAAATCATTACCTTTTTTTAATGGAATACCCCAAAGATGACTTTAGATGACAACAGAAAAATACATGCTTCTTGTGTTCCAATGCATTCTCAAATATTAGTTGAAATTATAAGAACATCCAAGACATGCTTGTTACCCTCATATAGATAGGTACCTCAATCTTCCTATATTGCTTACTTACATGATTTTTTCTTACTTACCAATAACATGACATTAGCATCATCTTCTTGCAATTATTTAATAACCCATCACCGCTATACACTACTCTACACTGTACAGTGCTAACTCAAAGAATTAAATATACAAATACTGTTTACATATTAGGTTACACACAAACACACACATACATACATACAAAAAATACAATTAAATACGATACAGGACAACACATTATAGGATGCGAGCTTTTAAAGTGTGCTAGGAACTCACTTTTTCGGTAGCAAGTGTTGAATGCAACAACTCAAACTCGTCCTTAGGATGCATCTCCTCAAAATGATTGGAGACGGAAACTGTCGTAGGCAGCGCGTCTGGATCGCTGACACAGCTCGGATCCTCTTTATTTACGAGAATCGGCTTTACTTTAGTATCCTTACCGCGTTTACGAATCTGTACAAATATAGTTTGGTATACTGGACCTTAACTGCCAAATAATTCTGACACAGTCTCACTCACAATCATAATCATGTATTCCTTCTCAAATCTGTCTAGGAAATAAGTAAACTTGTTTCTAGTGAAAGAACAGAGGTTTATGTTAGTAATGTGTTACGGAATTCATCAATACTTCCCTTGATTTGTGTGACGTTATTGATGCTATTACAATAGCACATGCAAGGAGTGCAAAGATGATAAGATTTTACATAGAAAATAGCAGCATAAGTAAAATGAATAGTTCTGAATATATGATATGCATAGATATGAGATTAAGTTTTTACCAAAATATATTTCTAATAGCTTATTATTTAATTGTTAGGACTTTTAACTAATATTTTTTTACTAGAAAAAACCTCAGAAACAGATAACCATTATTATGATTATAATATAATACATAGAATAGATATTGTTATCTACATTTTTTTAATTCTCTCTTCAGTGTTATAGGCTATTTGACAGTATGAAAAATAAAGTACCAATTGTTGGCATCAGTATTTAATATGAATATTAAATATTAATATGAGCAGCTATTTTATTACTTTGAGAAAACCAATAATTAATAACTTTTATAAAAAATCATTAAATAGAACTGATATATTTGTTCTGTGGTCATGTGACTGAAAACGCCTGGGATTGGCGAAGACTAAAATGAGGTCACACACTAGTAAACTTCCAATCAAAGTGAGATTACATTGAATCATTTGAAGTTTTAATAACATTCGTGTAACGTTACACATACTAGTGCGCGCCACTAGTGTCCACAGAAACACTTACTTAAAAATGGAATTATAGATTTAGTTTTTTTTACTGAAATTCACAACACAATGATGAATATCAAAATATTTTTATAAACTCCATAAACATTAGTAAATAACGTGAGATGATTTCTAAAACTTGTCAAATACCCTATTAAAACCACCAAGCATGTAAGCCCAGTATTTGCCATTATAAGTATACCTAATCTTGATAAGCAATAGCAAAATCACCATTAGAAGCAATAATGCTTACCTTGACAGTTGGCAGTACATCCCTGGGTACATCAACCACAACAGGTGCGCTGAAGTCTACATGAGGTTTTTCGGATGGAACTGAATCATCTTCCATACCACTCTCAGCCGGTGCTTCACTTTCAGGGTCACTTCCAGTTGTACCTGCATCCTTGGTTTTCTCCTTCTTTGCCAACTATTATTGAAACATATATTTATATAAGTCTTTGTAAATCATGAAAAATAAAGAAAACTGGTTTAGAAATTTTGGTGTTTGACCACAACAAGGTGTATGTGCCAATAAATCAGAGTTCAATGATTTCATAGAAGCTCATAGCATGTTGCAAAATATTATTAACCCAATTGACATTAACATTTTTTTCAAAATTATGCTTATATATAAAACATTTATTACATGAGCTATTGTCACATAAATAATTGGTAAGATGATATAGTTAATATAAATTATAAATTCAATAATGATATCTGCAAGTACTGAAACTAGATAGCTATATCCAGTGCCGTCTTTGACCTATTGGAGGCCCTGGGCATATTAGGATAATGGGGCCCCCGTGACTTCCGTTTGGTGATTTAACAGAAACTAGGGACTTTGTATTTGATCTGAGGGGGCCCCCTATCAATCGCAGGGCCCTGGGCACTAGCCCAAAGTGCCCACTGGGAAAGACAGGTCTGGCTATATCCTATGTGTGTAAAAACTTTCTTAAAACTCTGTTCAACCATTTAAGCGAAACTGAGGAACAAACATATATACAATCAAAACCCACTGTGCTGCTACCAGCTTATCTGTCTAAAAAAGCAACTGTACACTAAAAGTAATAGTAATAATACACACAATATGAAAATATGATATGATATGAATTGGACCTGCATTCATTTCATTATTGTGCTTTATTAAATTAATCATAAAAAGAGATACTATGTAATTGCTATTATTAGAACATTAATTAATTTAATTTTGTTATAGACTTCTACTTTTATCTTATCTTAATGAACATAATCTAAAACCTGTAACTTTATAAAATTTTATGTTCATTCCTTAGTGGAAAATAATTTATGTATAAATAGAAGAGAGAAAACAATCTTAAGAAGAAGGTCACCATCCAGATAGAGTAAATTCTGAAATAGATAAAATGTTAGGACACAGTAATTTCTATTTTAACAAGATTAGATATTTTAAGTCCAATAGGACAAAAACAAGTATGTAATACCTTCTTTTCCTTTTTTTCTTTCTTGTTTGTTTTCTTTGCCTTATTTTTGCTCTCAGCTAATGCAAGTAATTCTGTTGTAGCCTTACGCTGCTGTGCAATGGCTTCCTCATAGCTGGTGCCAGAAGCAGAGAATAGACCCATCAGCAGTAACACAGCAGCAGCGCCTGCCACCCCCACCCCACATAATACCAGCAATGCTTGCAGTTCCATAGGATCTGTGATTTTTTGTTTGAATAAGTTTTATAGTCAGCATCAAAAATATGTTGATAAGATCTAATTTATCTACTATGATCACTTATTTCAACTCTCAGGTACATTTATGTTTCAAGTAGGCTTATTGAAGAATCATATCTATTTTAAGACATCTTTGAAGTGATTTGACCAAATTTAAATGCATGAACTATTTAGATTTCAATATATAAAACAGTAAATAATTGTATAAATTAACATTAGCTAAGAATTTATATCTGCCTAAAAATAAAATGGGCTCTCTTAGTAATAAACATAGATTTGATACCAAAACAGTCTTTAACACCTAACAAGTCTAATTTTAATATTTCAAACAATATTCTAAAATATTAAAATAATATCTTTCTAATTGGCATAAGTTTGATTATCACTTATAAATAGACAACAGAAGAAGCACAGCAAGAGTCTGCCAGTGCGCTTCTCTGTTGAAAAGAAAATACACATCCACCATATGTCTTATCTCTACTTATCAGCTTGTTTTCAGTTGGTGAGTGTGCAATCTGATTTATATACTAGATCTTCTCTACCGTACCACAGTAATAATATCATACAGTATTCTATCTTCATACAAACGGTCGGAAAGAGAGAGTTTCAAAATCTGCAACTTGTATTATTTCACAACAGAATACTGATCCAAATAAATGCCCTACTGGTAAATTAAGTACTATGAATCTTTAGCAGTGAAAATGGCTACATATTGTCTACAAACTTACTATCCAAACCCTTATCACTATATCAATAATGATTCTCTTCCTTCACTTGATCACATTAAAAGATGTACAGATAAGTAAAACATCAAAATTAATAGAAAGTAACAATCTCTACATAAAATTTATTTACTATTAATATCAAAACATATCTAATGTTTATACATTTAGGAAGTTAAAAAATCTTACTGGTACCTACCTAGATTAATGCAATCATAGCTATTGAAGGATCCAAGCAGGAAGCACTAAGGATGTCGCATTTATTTTCAATGCAGGTGAAGAATTAGGACAAGACCGTGGCCTTAGAACGTAGGCTATTTGTTACAGGATCAGAGCCAGGATATTTTTTCCGTGTATAAAAAGTGCAGGTAAGCTGACACGTAAGCAATGACACATGTCAAAGGTTATTGACAGTGCTTTCGCTAAAGTATTTATTTTAACATTTACTTTAAACATTGTAGGATTATTTCAAAAAGAAAAGGTATAGTTATTATACGAAATAGCGGAATTTTAACAATATGCAGGAGATAAATGAAACTATGAATATCGAGTTGGCAGTTTAATCGGTACTTACCTACTTCATATTTTTATTACTTACATATATTCGATAGGAGCCGTGTAACTTTCTTGGATAAATTAAAAGTGCTTTTAGTTATCAGTAAAAAAGTGTCATTGAGAAATAAACAATAGTAAAACGTAGATTTCACTAAAATCACTACACTACACTCCGGCTTTTTGCTTCACCCGTTAGCCGTTCACTAGCGGCCATAAGGCGGTGTTGCAATTCGAAAAAAAATACTTGGTCAGTAAAAAAATATTGTAAATAATTGTGAGATATGACCACACGTTGCAAAATCCAATGGATAGAATCGAGATTTCGCACTCGCAAACTATTCGAATTCGATATTGGTTCATGCTAAGGGTACTGTATTCTTATTGTTTATGAAGTTCTATCAATAACAGTTTTTATTTAACGTTTAACTGCTAGACATTTAAATCCAAAGATTTTTTTGATTCAGATGTAAACAATTTGCTGTAGTTTCTCAAGATGCCGATATGAGATGTAAACAAATCATTAGGAACCTACGAAATATTCCCGACTTTGTTCATATAGTTCCAGACATCATGCTTACTAATGCATCAAGATCAAGACTCAAAACGGATTCATTGCCACAACCACAGGGATTTGAAATATCCAGAATTTATATTTTTTTATTAGTTCTGTTTCATTACTTTACCCTTTTGCTGAATGACACCTATTGTTAAAGTTAATAAATAATGGTGACGATTTTGGCATGATTCTCTAAACCTAAACTTAAATTTCACAACAGTGGTGTCGATTCTGGCAGGATTCTCTAAACTTAAAGCTAAATTTAAGATCAGTCTGTCCTTTTCATTCCACATAGAGAATGACAGGGATACACTGTATGCTTTCCAATTACAGAGCATAGTGCGACTCAATGCCGCACAATGCCCAATTCCAGCATAATTATGCTGATGCTTAATTGGAACGTGAATTAGTTTTCAAATGCACCAGCAGAGTGCGCTAAGTTCAGTGTTGAAAAAAAAAGGTCAATGTTTGTACCTTCATCCATACTTATATTTATTTTTTAACAGTTTCAATGAACTTTGATTATTTAAAAAAAAACTATTTAATGAAACGAAAGCTTTAATAATTTTTCATTTTTTAAATATTTTTTTTTAAATAATATTACTAACGATAACAAAATAAAACATTGCGATCAATGCCAACTTAAAGAAAAAACACTTGTTAATTTTCTTTCTCTAAGTTGGTACCATTGCACGCATCACAGGAAAGCATCACTTTTGAGAGTGCGAAGCGTTGCTGTAGTTGGAACACTCAACGTTAAGCATTATGCCGCATAATGCGCAATAATGCTGTAATTGGAAAGCAACCACTGTTGTAAAATTTAAGTTTAGCTTTAGAGAATCATGTCAGAAATTCAGAATCGACACCAATATCTAAATAATTTGACTTCAAAGCATTAATTCAAAAAAATATATAGATATTGGTAGTTTTCCAATTACAGAGCATAATGCGACTCAGTGGCGCACAATGCCGAATTATGCTGATGCTTAATTGGAACGTGAATTAGTTTTCAAATGCACTAGCAAGTTAGTGTTGAAAAGAAAAGTCAATGCTTGTACCTTCATCCATACTTATATTTATTTTTTAACACAGTTTGAATTAACTGTGATTATTAAAAAAAACTACAATAAAACGAAAGCTTTAAAAAAAATTCAGCAATAAATAATATTACTAACGATATTAAATAAATAAAACATTTCAATCAATGCCAACTTAAAGAAAAAACACTTATTAATTTTCTGTGAATGAGTTGGTACGATTGCACGCATCACACGAAAACATTACTTTTGAGAGTGCTCGATTGTGCGAAGCGTTGCTGTAGTTGTAAAAGTACTTAGCCCCATTTATTATAACCATGTTCTTTAGTCTGTTACTCTGTGGTGTTAATAATGGCTGTTGACATGTCACGTTACGTCAAATCAAAACGTCGTATTTGTAAAGTCAATTAAACTAAAACAGCTGTCCTTAATTCTCTTGTTCTTGGTAATGTTTCTTTTCATTAAAAGTGTTTATTGTTTCATTTGAGGGATATTGCCTTAAAAACCTTATGTTGCCGTGTAAATAAACCAAAGAGACACAGCAACAAGTTTGTTGTTTTCCAAATTAAGAATGTCGATTCCTCCACTGGTTTGTAGTACTCCTCCACCACCCGAACAGTGTGAGGATGACAAAGACCCTGAAGAATTTGATTTGCACTATAATTGTAAGTACATGAGTTTCGTTTTCATTCAACTTTTTTATTATTGTGATGGGATATGTAAACATAAATGTAGACATTAAGAGCCTTAACAATTTATGTTTTTGCTTAGTAACTTTATGCCTGTTTTTTAAATCAAATTATTATTATTATTTAAATGGAAGGATTAAAATTGTACATTTTATTTCAAGTGTCTCAAGAAGAAGATGAAAACAATGACTATGAATTTGGTAACTTTTCTACATTTAATATTCATACATCTGATAATGGTAAAAAGCCTAATATATTGTCACCAGAAAATAAAGTGGAACCTTGTAGTAATTTGAATAGTGGTAATGAAAATGATGGTAGGGAAAGTTTAAATCACATTCCTGATTTGCCATTTGAAGATGATATTCATGTTGAAGATTTAAATTTAGTAATTAACCAAGAAACAATGAATAGCAATACAAAATGTAATGAAGAAGTGTGTGAAACTGATTCAGATGACAAAATTGATAAAGACTTTCAAGAAGACATTCCATTTGTGTGTAATGTGAAACCAAATGATAAATTAAGTGAATCAAATGAAGGTAAAGAAACAGAATCAATATTAGTGAGTAAAGCAGATAAATTCGAATCACCCAACAAAGAGGTCACAGAATCATTGTCTGATAAAATAGAAATTATAAATAATGAAGAAGATCATTTGAGTAGTAGTAATAAAAACGATGATGCTTCATCTCAAGATTTAATGGATGCCAAAAAAGAAAACCCTACAGAAGAAAACCATACAGATGATGACTTTGACAATTTTGATGAATTCAACTTCATTCAATCTGATGAAAAATCTGAGATAGTGATTGATTCTAATGACCCATGGGCGAACAGTACTACAGAAAATGTAGATTTTGGAGGTTTTGCTGCAAATTTTGAAAATGCGAATAGTGCATTATCTCAACCTTTTCAAGTGGAAGGAGAGTCTTCTATAATTCATAAGGAAAGTCCATCTCTAAATACTAATAATGATGATGATGATGATTTTGGAGACTTTGATGATTTTAAATCTTCAGCTACCGCTAATACAGATAGTGAGGAATCAGTAGAAATAGTGCAGAACCCTAGAGTACCTATCTTGAATTTTCAATCTATTAGTGAGAATCAGATCATTGAAAGCATAAACAAAGTTCTAGAGACAGTATTTCCAGAGGAAATTTCTAATTCTGGTGATAAATTGGAAAACAAACTTGATATTTCCTTGGGTGAAACATGGAGTTATTTAAAAGAGACAGACACAAGACAACCTTATATGGTTAACTGGAATAACTCATTAGCTCAAAAAACACTGTTAAGAGCTCTGTGTATTGATTCAAGGAATATTGTAAGTTATCAAAAACATATATGGGTTTTTAGGCTGTACTGTTAGCTTAGCCACTCACTTTCCTTTTTCAGTTGTATATGACTTTTTAACAACTCAATAGAAAAATTTTTTTTTTTTTAAATCAATACTAGCTAAGTGTTATTTTTTATTTATATAATTTCTAGGGTTTCTATTTATACCATTATATTCTTCCATTAATAACAGTCAGTTGAATACTTATACAGTCTTAAGTACTATTTTCTTTGCCTACAAGCTTAGGATATGGCCTGAAAATGTTTACTTCATAATTTTATAAATGAGAATATATTTTTTTTAAATATAAATGACATAAAATTATATTCTCCCTGGTCTTTTAACTATAGGGGATCAATAATAGTCAGAGACTAATAAATTGTGTGATGATAATTAGATATCTAAATGTTTACAGTTATTTGGACCTAAATGGAGTTTCAATACACCAAAATATGCTGTTAACTTAAGTGCAGCTCCACTTCAGCCACAGAAACCGACAACACAATTGATTACACAACAAAGAGAACAGTCTTCAGATTCAGAAAAAACAAACAACAGATCAGCTTGGGTGGACCCATTTGCTTCTGATGGGCAGGAATGTAAGTTGATTTTTTTATCAATGTCATGTAGTGATCTTAACTGACCACTAAAGATAAGAATATTGATAAAACTAATAACATCATTATGAAAATAGCTTTATTAAAACAAATGTCAATATTATTGAACTTGACAGAGAAAAGTTCAGCACAAGCACTGGCATAAAAAAAAATGCACCTTACTTTGAATTACAAGGTATTCAAATCACTTAAATTTATATTATGTGACAAAATAATGCAGGTATAATTTGCGTAGAAACTGCTCACAATTGTAATTTTTTTGCATGTCTTGCACATGGACTTTCACCCACACAATCTATCCTGCTTTTCCTAATATTCCATAGTCACCTATGCCGAAGCCCTACTCCTAGATTTAGAACACCTCATGGCCACCCTAGACCAAATGGCTAACAATCATTCCTCCCTCAAGATTTCCGAATTACTATCACATGGTAAGTTTAATTTGTACAGATAACCATTTATTAATAGAAAATATATCCCCAAAATGAAATAAAATGTCATTTGAGAGTAATATTTAAAAGATGTTTTTATAGAAATGGAATAGAGGTTTTTAATGAAATATGAATAAGTTCAGAAATAATAAATATTATTTTAAACTTAACCATTACCTAATTATTTCTTACTCATGTTATTGGAAAATATATATAAATCTCGTGTCACAATGTTTGTCCTCAATGGACTCCTAAACCACTGAACCGATTATAATAAAATTCGCACACCATGTGCAGTTCGATCCAACTTGAGAGATAGGATAGTTTAAATCTCAAATTATAGTCGCAATTTTAATTTATTGCAAATTATTACTTTTGGGCGGTACGAAGTTCGCCGAGTCAGCTAGTTATCTACATATATTACGAGGGCGGGATGATAAGTAACTAGCCTCTGCTATTTAAAAAGTTCAAATTTAAAAAATATGTATGTCATTTTTAAATTCGTATCTCTGGCCACCTGTGTTCTAAATTTGAATTTGGTGGCGCGAAAATTTTATTGATTTTTTGTCATTTGAAAATATATTTCGTCAACTGTTTTCAATATGGATGAAATTGAACAAAGAGCGGTAATGAAGTTTCTTCATATAAAGGGCATGTAAGGGAAAGATATCTATGACGAGTTAAAGAATGTTTTGGGTAAATGTGCTCCTTCTTATACCACAGTAAAAAACTGGGTGGCTGAGTTTAAATACGGTCGTACATGTGTCCAAGATGAAACCCGTCCCGGGCGTCTAAAAAGCGTCACGACTCCGGAAATGGTCGTGAAAGAACATGATATGGTTTTAGCAGATCGATGATTCAAGTTATGTGAAATAGCTAACACTACAGGTATCTCAAAAGAACGGGTACATCATATCCTAAGTGAGGAATTAAATATGAAAAAATTATCGGCCCGTTGGGTGCCGCGATTGCTTACGCACGATCAAAAAAGGATTCGGGTGCAAAATTCAAAAGAATGTCTGGACCGTTTTCTGAGTAATAAGGCCGATTTTTTAAGTCGATTTGTAACAACAGATGAAACATGGGTTCATCATTACACGCCCGAATCAAAAATTCAATCAAAACAGTGGACTCGATGTTCAATTTCATCCATTATGAAAACAGTTGACGATATATATTTTCAAATGACAAAAAAACAATAAATTTTCGCGCCACCAAATTCAAATTTAGAACACAGGTGGCCAGAGATACGACTTTAAAAATGACATATATTTTTTTATAATTTTAACTTTTTAAATAGTAGAGGCTAGTTACTTATCATCCCGCCCTCGTATATTCAATTTAAACATTAAAACAATTTTTAACTTTATTCATCATCATCAGCCTATTGATGTCCCCACTGTTGGGCCACAGGCCTTCCCTAAACATGGAATAGGGAGATTGGGCCATCCCATCACATGAAGAGCTTGTGATAATAATTTTTTTGGTTACCCTTTTAATGAACGGCCATTGCGGAAATGGCTTAACTTTAACGATCGGAACCTTAACGCGCTTACGACCTGTTCCATTGAACTCCTCATTTTTAACTTCATTTATGAAGTGAAATTATATTTTATTTAAATTGACTTATTGAAAGCTCTTTTGAATCGTCCAAGTTTTTTTTCTACCACCTATTCAGGACATCTTAAAATTGATGAGAAGATTGGGCGCAAAAAACCCATCAGGGCTTAACTTAAATTCATCATCATCATCAGCCTATTAATGTCCCCACTGCTAGGGCACAGGCCTTCCCTATGAATGGAATAGGGAGATTGGGCCATGACCCACCACGCGGGCCCAGTGCGGATTGGTGGGTGCTAACGACTGCAGATGCAGCCGGGACCAACGGCTTAGCGTGCCTTCCGAAGCACGGAGGAGCTCGAGATAGTAAATTTTTGGTCACCCATCCAATGACCGACCACTACGAAAGTTGCTTAAGTTCAACGATCGCAGCCGAACGCGCTAACCACTTGCGCCGTCGAGCTCCTCGAACTTAAATTAGTTAATACATTAATTAAGTTTAAATTGTTAACATACAATCACGGACACCCTAATTAGAAAATATTTATGTTTCAGCTTGCAATGTGGAGAATGAAAGCACCATACCTGAACCTGGCCCTACTGATTTAGATGTGTTCGAGTCTACAATGTCTACAAAAACAGATAAGATTTTTTCAAGTACAATGAACATACAACCAATTCGCCAAATTAGTTTACCTGATACTCATATCTTCACACCTACTGATTCAGAAACACCAAGATCTAAAACAATACATTACAACAGTAATCCTACTCCCAATATACTCATACCACAGCCCATTGCATCTGCTATGAAAATACAAAAAGATCAAATTATGCCACAGCCAGCAGATATTGAGCCACAGTCCAATGATGAGTATTGGGATTTCCAAGAGTTCAGAAGTAATCCTGATATTAAATCTCCTGATTTAAGCAAGAACTTAGAAACAGAAAATAAAGACACCCTGGTAAATTCTAACTACACTGTTAAAACACAAGTGTTACAGCCCATTAAATCAGAACTCATAATGCCCACTTTAAATTGGCCTGATCCTGGTGAAGTTAAGGAGACTTTCGACGATTTCTCAGATTTTGTGTCCAATTCAGTACCAATAGATGACAAGCAAATGTCCTCATCAGAGATCCATGACGAGACTGGTAAGATTAAGAAAGAAAATAATAATTTCACAGATACCTCTTTGAAAACTAATGGTAATATTGAAGATGATTTTGATATGTTCCAATCTGTCTTACCTACAAATGTAATGAAAGTTAATTCGGAAAATATCTTGTCAAATCAAGAACCGTCCATCTTAAAAACTGATTTTAAAGCAGAAATACCAAAATTGGAACAAAAGTCTGATAACATATCAACACTTAGTATGAGACCAACAGAAAATAATATACAAACAGTAGGCAATTTTTCAAATGCTAAACAGCCAAATGAGCTTAACTTTAAAACACAACCTTCTGGAATACAAGCCCCTAGCTGCAATATATTACTACCTATAACTGTAACTTCGACCACAACACATGCAACACAACAAAACACTGGTCAAATACTGCAGCCGTTATCATTAGAAAGTTATTCCCAGATCAATTGGCCAAATCCAGGTATAGATTTGCAGGATTTATCCAGATTTAATCCTGTCGAAAGTTTGCAATCATTTAAGAGTGATGTAAGTAATCATAGCAAAAATTCATCACCAATTCACAACCATAAAAACGTAACTAATAATCAAGTCTCAGATGATGACATATGGGGAGATTTTGTTTCTATTAAACCCAAATCTCAGCAATCACTTCCCAAAAAGCAGTCTGTGTTTGCAGATGACGATGAATGGACAGATTTTGTTTCAAGCCCAAGTGTGAACACACAGAATGGCTTAAATACAATTAGTTTAAATGTAGATACTAATTCTAGCATTCAAAAGTCTTCTAATTCGACCAAATACCCTTTAAAGAATAATGATATTCCACTTGACATACCGACATTGAACTACATCACTCCCAAGACTGCCAATCAAAAGTCATTTAATGAAAGACACTTTCAAAATTTATAACAGCACATGCATGAATGTCGATCGCTCTATCATAATCTGTACTTAATTAAATGTATATAATTGTTATGTAAATAGGGTGGGGGTGTTGTAAGTATAATTGTAATATTTTTTAGATATTTACATGTTGTAACCTTCAACTATTGTGAATTTGCTGTGAATGTTGAATAAGAATGAATGTGTACATAAATAAAATAAATCTTCATTCACACTGCTGTAGTTCGGCACTGTGGATGATGCTTTTAATATATCAAAATATTATATTCCATTATATTTGTCCACAACTTTGTTTTACTGTTATTAGCAACGATATTAAATACCCTAGATACACCAACACGAACAAATTTATGCCCGAAACCTGGCCAAAAGGTACATTGGACTATCCACGGAGCTCCGTAATATGATCGCGTAGTCTAAACAATATAAGCCATTATTATAACACTGAAAATCACTAAATAAAACTAGTTTTTACGGGTTAATGCACGAAACTTTATTTATTTATTGACGTTTCGCAGCCTTTTCAGGTCTGCATCGTCAGAATAATGATTTTTTATTTAAAATTGTCGAGCTACCTTCGAAAGACTTATATTGAGCGTTCGGTTATTTCATTGGAAGAATTTTAAAATTTTATTGTCTATGTATGAATTTATTATTTAATTTACTTAATTTATTAAGTTTCGAAACAAACTCAAGAGAGGCTTTCTATCTCCTTCTTATGTTAAATTCTAAAGAAGGAGATAGAAAGCCTCTCTTGAGTTTGTGTCGCCTTCGGTTCTTCTCAGGAAGGTCTCCCAATTTTGGAACCGGTGGTAGTTTACGGTAGTTAGGGTCAAATAAATAAACTCAAAATTACAAACAAGAATTTTAAATAAAATACTTTATTAAGTAAATTAAATAATAAATTCATACATATGTAGACAATAAAATTTTAAAATTCTTCCAATGAAATAACCGAACGCTCAATATAAGTCTTTCGAAGGTAGCTCGACAATTTTAAATAAAAAATCATTATTCTGACGATGCAGACCTGAAAAGGCTGCGAAACGTCAATAAATAAATAAAGTTTCGTGCATTAACCCGTAAAAACTAGTTTTATTTAATGAGTGATGTGCGTGAAAACCTAAGAAACAAATACTGAAAATCACCTTTAAAGCGCACTGTATAAGGTCTTAATTAAAACCCATCCGCAAAAAGTTCTGAGAGTCCGAGATGTAAGCTCGTAAATTTTACGACATATTGCTATATGCAGAAGAATATAGACCTTGTTTCTTTGACTCTACACGCAATTCTGAATGCGCTATTAGCAATATAGCAGGTACGGACCGCGAGGAAAAGAGACGGCTATATTACCGACCAAGCATTTGAATATCACAAATATTTTCTATTAAATCAGTTTATAGTAAGTATTAAAACAATATTTGCTTCAAATGCGTTAAACTAACAAACATTGAGCAGATCCCTTCGAAAAAACGACATTTTACATACTATAAGTATTCATTTCGCATTTGTCATGGAGCTCAGCGGCATGTTGACTTTTCAACAGTCCGTGACTATGAACCAAGAAGTGCTTGAGTCGTGTTCAAGCACTTCTTGATAGGGACACATTTTGAGCGCACGTGGTGTATCTAGAGTATTTAATATCGTTGGCTATTAGATAAAAACTATGTTGATTCAGAATCTTTAGGCACGAGCAAAAAATATGCAGATAGTATAATTTTATGGAATAATAGTAAATAGTATTACAAAGTACAGTAGTGGGCGTAGTTTCAGACTCCTTTTTGTCCAGATGCATATCATCTTAGCGCAATTTCTGTTGCTTTGCTACTAGAGCGTGAATAGTTAATATTGCAGTGATTAACAATGGTGTTTCTTAAAACTAGTTCAATAGCAGTATTCCATATACAGTGGATCCCAGGTAGTCCGACAAACATTTTGCAGGGCAGTGTCGAACTATCGAATTTGTCGGATTATAGAGTACTGCCTAAGACCCTCTATAGTCCTAATTTTTTTACAAAAGAGTATCTTGTAATCCGACAAATTACAGATCCAATGATAATATTACAAATTATACTTTGTTATGTATGTCACTTTGTAAATTAAACAACACAATAAAAAGATTACGTTTCATTATAAAAGTAACGTCATTAATGCTATAGAATTTACAAAAAAATATAAAAAAAACAATACTCTACGCGTCGAGCACAATAGTGATGGTGCATACAAGTTGTAACTTGTTCAATCGTGAATTAGTGAATACTTGTATGTAATAGACGATGTCGGATAGGGGGTGCCGCATTAGCCAGGGGCCGGATTACCGGGGCTCCACTGTAATACCAACGCAAAGCAGTGGTAATTCTGACTGCAGACACAAATAACTTACGCAAAGGCTAGTCACAGGGATTGAATAAAACTTAGCATCTGAAGCACAGACCTTGATCTTATTTGATGCAAGGTGCTAATTGGATTACTCTATTTCTTATCGCTTTTGTTTTCTCGTTCACGACTATGAAATGAAATATGTACATCCAAGAACTGTAAAGTGAAGCTACTGCGTGTTTTACTTCTGTCGTTCATGGCTGATTCTGGATTTGTTGGCCCCAATTCCAGATGTGCTTCTGTAGCCCTGTCTATAGGAAACTACTCATTCAGATATATTTTTCAGTGAAATCATAAATATAGGCGGATGATGAACTTTATATTTATGAATACGATTAAAATAGTTATTTGAGTGCTATATGAGGCACTTGTCACAATTGGCTATTTGACAGTATGAAAAATAAAGAACCAATTTTAGCGCACTGTGAGCGATTTCACTATTTTGACAAAAAAACAGTTAATAATAATTGTTTCCGAAAATCATGAAATAACAAGGTGTTTATTGATCTATTGCTAGTGACAATTCGTCACGTGACCTGCTTTTAAACATCCTGACGCACTTCGTCATTACTTTATACTGTTTGACGTTTTAATGAGAGCCCTGTAAACACGCCATATTTGCTAGAGAAACGTTCCCGCATGTTATTTAGGAACAAAATTTTTATTTTGGTTTTTTTATTGCAACAGAATTATAAACATCCACTTTTTATGGAGTCACTATACACTAATAAATGACGTGTGAACGTGTTCAAAAACTTGTCAAATAGCATATTTATTACCCATATTCTATACGAATACAGTACCCCTAGCACGAACCAATATCGAATTCGTATCGTTTGCGAGTCCGAAATGTTATTATGAAATTTGTACTGATTTTTAGTTCTCGTTACGTACTTTGCGCCGCTGCTGTTCAAGTTTCCATACAAAACATAACATGTTGACATTGACATTTCGGTTTGCAAACTATTCGAATTCGATAATGGTTCGTGCTAGGGGTACTGATCTGTTTAGACTAAAACCCCTGACTTAACTACAGTAAGAATACAAATTATTGTTGTTATTATGCGTTGCGCTTTGATTTTTTTTCCCATTCCATGCCGTTTCAATGTATATTAATATTTTTCATACTCAAAAGCACTGCAGTCAGAAATGAATGAAGAACGAGGGTACCCAAAATACTGTCCAATTTATGTAAATGTGTATTATAGTGTAATGCCGGCACTTCACTTGGCTTTGCGTATTTGCTATTTGTAAACTTGATAACATTCTGTCCTTTTCATGTAATGTAAAGAATGAAAGGTACAGACTGATGTCAAGTTTGAATATAACAAACACGAATAGCCAAGTGAAGTGCCGGTATAAAAAAAACTATTACCTAATACTGTTGATGTTGACAAAATTCACTAACACATTGGACTCGATTATGTCGCGATCTCATGAAGTAAAGAAAAATTATATAGTATTCTAATGTATTTATTATAAGAAGTTCAATTAGAGGACATTTTATATTTTAAACTAAAAATTAATTTGTTTTTGAACCACTATCTTAAGTGGTTTAACTGATATAGAAGATTGTCTAGGTTGGGTCTACGAAGAAATAAAAGAACCATTTAATAAAAAATAAACAAACTTTAAAATCCCAATTTGTATGTTATTTTATATTTGCACAACGTTACAAGGCAAAATTAAATATCATTTATAAACGATTAAAGAAACGTCTTTTTATTATTTAAAATGTTTCGTTACAATAAGAAATAAATTTACAGTTACAGTACCAGGGCATTTATAAGTCGCATCGTGCTTTAGAGAGAGATACTCGGCTAGCTTTGGCTACCTTCGGCTTTGTAGAGCGTCATCTCTGTGATACGAAACACTAACAGTCCGGTATCTATTAAGAGCTGCTAAAACTTTTTTTTTTTTTTTCGAAATCAATACAAAAAGGAAACATCTTGGTAAAAGACAACATATATGTTAATTTATTTATTTTAATGAAAAACTATATTTTTTATTTCCAAACAAATAACAAAATACAAAAAGCTAATAGATATGCGAAGCCTCTCCGTGTCATTTTATTTTAGTAATCAGATTCTAAATTCTCAATTCCTTCCATATCACTATGTGAGCTCTCAACCTCGTCAGCGCTGTCACTATCGCCCGTATTCATCACTAGCCTATCAGTATAATTGTCTAAATGATGTTCAGTTCTTAGATATTCATTCTAAGCATACATTTTATTGCGTGTTCACAAACATTTTTCCACTCCTCAGCTCCAATCATGTTTACTTTTTCAGTCAATAAAATTTTCACCGAATTCAAATTCATATCCACATTTCTAGCGGCTACATAGCCTTTTAATTGAGACCATATATTTTCAATAGGATTGAAATCCGGGTGATATGACGGCAATCGCAACGTAGTGTGCCCATGTTCTGCAAGTATTTTGTTTGCGGAAAACTCTGTAAAATTTTCCTTGCGGCGACATATAATAGCATAAATCTATGGTTTATCAAATTTGGATCAACTGGAATGTTATGTGTGTTTATTATTTATAAAACAGGAAATGATAAACTGGTTAGTTTATCATTTCCTGTTTTTAGTGTTAGAATTTGGCGGTCTCTCTACATATTTGTTATGATAAGGTGTGTTGTCGATAACCAGAACGGAGTTATTGGGTATATTTGGTATTAATTGATTAAGCAGCCATTTCCCATAGTTTTCATTATTCATCTCTTTGTGGTAATCACCTGTGGTATCTGTGGATTTATATGTTAAAAAAGCTCGGGGAACAAAACCTTTTTCGTTGCCTGCATTAACTACTATCAACCGTTGACCCTATGAAATTGGCTTCTTTACTCCTTTTTTTTTTATCATCAATCCAACTTTTGCCTTTTGTGTGGGATTGATGTATGTAAGACTCATCCATCAGAAAATTGTATATTTTATCAAAGTATTCAATTCGTTTGAGTCTTACATCATGTTTTTCCATTAAAACTTTTCTGTTATCTTCCATTTTAGTGAAGCGAAATCCCATGTCTAGATGAATATTTCTCAACGCCTTTTCAGATCCATTATGATTAATAGCCACAGATCTAAACGTCAGGTTGACAAGGGTGACAGAGACGGCGCTATACGAAGCCAAAGCTAGTCGAGTATCTCTTTCTAAAGCACGATGCGACTTATAAATGGCCGGGTACTGTACTAATTATCAAAATTTTAATGTTTTGGCTAATATATGTAAAATAAAAGGGGACTTTTAAAAAGTTTATTTAATAATGCAATATATATATATATATATATGGGT